AACAGAACAGACAACACCCAAGGCACACTAGTAGAGGAAATATCTTTCCTCCCAGTTTGGTGGTGCATCCTGAAATATGAATGTATTTCTTTTTTCCTTTTTCTTTTTTTTTTTTTTCCAGGAGGTGGAAGGGTTTGTAATGGATGTGCTTGTAAATGTTCAGTGGTTTAAATTGAAGGCCCCACAAACAGAATGTAATGTCACAGAACTAGTTTGCTGCTATCTTCTGTAATTTAATGTTTAAACCAGACCAAATTAAAACAAGAACAAACCCCAAATGTGAATAATAATGAAGTGGCCAAGGAGAGGATTGCATGAAGATGTTTGTTTGCACAGCAAACAGTATTGCTTCCAGCTAAATCATTTTCATGAGTAAGACATGTTTAACGTAAGCAGAACTGTAAAGAGGCGATGATTCTGGACAATAGAGGCAATGTTTATGAACAAAACTTATTTCTAAACAGGAATACATACAAAATATATTTGTATTTCATTAGATGTAAAAATAGAATTGTGTGCAAATAATATTGGATGCAGTCATAAAGACTCCTTTTGCACTTTTGTAAATGTGGCTCCCATAATTTACCTCAAGTGACATGCCATTTAGAGGAAGCAGTCATTCTTTTCTAGCTCTCCAAGTTGGCAACAGAACTTCTTCTATATATTGCTTGCTCTATACAACAGATTACTTTAAGAGTCTACAGTGAAGGGCTTTGCTCTGAATATTTCTCCCTGAAAACACTTAAGGCACACCCACTTTTCAGACTGCATACCTATATCACATCCATAGTTGTGTGATGTTAAAGCAGAAGGCCTAGTACCTCTACTTTGTACTGCACTTTTCAGATTTGCATTCTATGGCTTATATTTAGCTTCTTAAATCTTTCACAGGTCAAGTAACTACGGCAAAGAACTCATGACTTGCCTTATATTGCTGTACATTTTGAAGTGTTTCCTTTATGAACTTCCTATTGCTGACAGGGACAGAAATGCACTGCTTTGAGAACATGAGTTTGAAATGGGAAACATCTTATGATAAAACATCACTGGCTAAAGTCACCCCAAGGAGCACATCATAAAGCTGATAGGGGTAAAGACTGTTCCAAGTCCATCTGTCAAGAAAGAGCTGAAAGTTCAGAAACATGTTCTTACAGACCTTTAGAACAAACAGAACAGCATTTGCATTAAAAGCACATAAAAACCATATAAAGTACTGTAAATAATATTAAAAAAAACTCCAAGACACAGCAGTTACAGATTATCAAAGGGAGAGACAGTTGAAAAGCAAAAAGTTGTTTGTTGGTTTGTTTTTTTTTTTTCCTCTTGGCAATAGCAGCAGTTTTGGCACAAAGGCAAATGCAGAAGATAGAGAGAAACAGGCAGACAGGGTACAGAGAAAGTTACAGAATCTACATCAAGCATGCCACAGTTCAGCAGGACCAAAAGCACAGTAACAGCCTTCCCCAACTTCCCTTTCCCAGAGAGAATGGCATCCATTGCTCAAAAGCTTGTTGCCACTTCCCAGACTGAAGGGGTAAGAGCCAGTTTGACCATAACCTCCCTGGGAACATCCCTTGGAATCACCACACCAGAAGCCACACAGGCTCTCTGGCAAACCAGACAAAGCCTTCACAAAAAGGGTGATTCTGGTTGACTGCTAAACAAACCTCAACCTGCTCATCACAGATTGTGCCCTGCAACTATCTCCATTACAGAACAAGGGACAGACAAAACACAACAAATGCCACCCACAGTGAGGGACTGACATCCTTAGCAAAGTTAATACATGCCAATCAGGTTAGTAACACACCACAAGAAAGGGCTTGTTGTGACCAATTTTGACCAATCTCACCTCATCTGACCAAACCTGCTGAATGCTAATTTGTGGCTGAATATATTTTAAGCATTAAGCCACCTAAAAAGGAGGCCAGATTTGGTGGCAAAGCAAAGGAGGCAGTGAGTGTAGGGAAAGAACTCATGCAATTTATATCCGTCTGGGATTCCATGACAACTAAAAAGCAGGCCTTGCATGAGTTACCATAAAGCTCACTGAAACAATCACTGTTGCTAACTCAGGGCTGAATTTAATTCAGAAGTATAAGAGTTAAAAATGGCTGGTTTTTTGCCTTGCATATTCTATAATTGATGTTACTGCTGTATGCCTTCCTTTTGCCTTCTAAGCTATCATCTCCAGCAAATATCAAAGCAGTTCACGTTACGTGTTTTTCTTCTTTTACTTAATGCTTTTAGAGGCAAGTCACTCTCCACATCAAGATCTACCTCACTACTGAGGATTGGTTCAGACCTCAGGGTTCGAAATTGTTATTGCCAAATTCCATTTGGTGGCACTTGCCTTAAAGGAGGCAAAACATTTTCAGATATATGACCTGTACTGGATGAGTCTACCAGACAGGTGAAGTGGAGCCTTGGAAACAGAGCTCTGCCTCCGTCTCCATCTCAGACAGGTTTTTGCTCGAGGTATTTGCCTACTCTACAGTGAAAGTAGAATGTCTGTAGCCTCTCAAAACAAACAATTTACTAAATTGCAAGAAATCATACACACAAATAGTTCAAATTCAGGAGTTACACTAAGATATAATCTTATAGGCTCCTTTTGATTATTCAGGAATAATGTCCTGTTCTTCCACTGTATTAGCAAGCTTGGTAATTCAAAAGGGTTTGTTTTGTTTTTTCAAACCATACATAACTGTAAACATATCACAGGTTTCTTGACCTACATACCCAGCAAGAACAGGAGCTAAAGGTAGGTACCTACAGGACATAACTGTTACGCCTGCCTTTAATAACACGGTGACTTGTTTTTAAAGTATATTGCATTCAGCTTCCTCCTGCTTCTTAACCACTGTTAGGTCAGTAGTTTCAAGATATACTTAAAACCTACTGCATGAATTAAACAAAATCTCAGCCACTATTGGCATTTCTTTAGCACAGCAGAGGCACTGCTCACTTTTCCTACCACTAAATGTACTTCTGTCATGCACACACAAGAATGCACCACGATAGGCTACCTGAAAGATGACCCAGCTAAGCTGAGTGTGTCCTAATGCACTTTGGGCACTGCAAGAGGCAAAGCTATACAAGGTCCAAAAGCTCTAAACATTATGCTAGCTATACACTGCTTTAAAAAAGCAGAAAGCAAATAGGAGGAGCCCTAGATTTCAAGTTTTGCTGTTTGACAAAATGGTGTCTTTTCCATCTTATTCCCCTGGAAGTACTACAGTGCTGCTACAGGATTGTGCCACTGCTACATAAGGAGAGATGGGAGTATCTGACTTAGGGCTGATTTACATCTCATTTATATAAGTTTATTGCGAACTATGGTCTATTGTTTGCTCTACTTAGTGATCACTTAGGTGCTACATACTGAATATTCCTTTGTAAAAGTAACTAAATTTGATCAGTTGGAAGGACTAAATCAGAAGAAGGAGACTTTCTGCCAGCAGTTGCTTTGATAAACTAATTATACATGTAACTAAAATCTCCTCCTTCCAATTCTCACCACCAGTAGCTTCACTCCCTAAACCACCTTATTCTCACATCAGACTCCCTGCGCACCAATAAATATTTTTTCCATTCATCTTAAAGAATATGTTCCAGCTTAAAAAAAAAAATCTCTTCACTTTCAGAGAAAACAATTTGAAGTCTATCCAGTTGTACAAAAAAATGCTGTAGTTAACACACCTTTTAATTTCGCAAATGGCATTCTTCTCTACCTTTTCCCTTTTCTCACTTTTGCCATATGGAAACTCCACACACACAGAAGAGGAAACCTTGAAAGTAACTATACTTCAAGAATCAACTACACACACTAGGAATAAATTTCTCCCAGATTGCATTCAGTTACAATCTTAGAAACACTTGTAAGAATAATATATAAAGACAAAGAAAAATATGATTTTTATTTGCCTCTGGGTTGTTAAGGTCTTTTCCCAATTGGCACTATGAAAACATTCTTTTCTCAAAGTATTGCTGTAAGTATGTTCTCTCCTAAAAGCAGCAGATTTAGTTTATCCATAGTGTTCTGGAACAAATACTGGAAATCAAATCTCTTCCTTTTTCTGACATCACTAAACGAGCACTTCGGGGCTGGGCAAACGAGCATTTGTAGCACAGACACTTCTCTCATGTTAGAAGGAATTAGAATTTCAAGTTAAAAGGCAAAACTACTTCACAGTAAGACACACGCATTCACCACCCCGTTTCCAAAGCCACGGCCGGGAGCAGCACAGACACTGGCAGTGAGGGAAGAGCACCATGACCTGCCCGCACCATGAAATTCAAGGGGTTTAAGGAATCCAATCCCATTAGCTGTCAGACACCCAGAATTCCAAAGGAGACACAATCCAGAGATAATGGGATCTTTCCCATTCAAGTACCAGATTAATGAAGAGAAGCTTGGGAGAACAAGAAACCACACCCAGAATTCAGGCAAACACAGAAATCCAGTTTGTGATCTATTCCAGTGCTTCAGAAAAACTTTTAACTTCACTAACATTTTGCTGCATACATTACAGGGATTTTATCTGGGCCCACTCAGAGGAGACTCTCAACTGAGCATCTGTGTTTTCCTGGAATTCTTTTGAATAATGCCCTTGCAAGGACTGAGAACATCGAGGCCCCAAAGCCACAGTGCAAAATAATATACTGAGATTTTTCACGTAACACACAAAATTCACATGGCACCGCAAAAAAACCACACGAGTTACACAGCTCAGAACTGGGTCACGTCAATTCTTACTGGTCAGCAGGCTGCCCACAGAATTCCCCTAGGATCTGCACGAGAACTTCTGACTGGACATAGAGAAAGGGAACCCCAAAAGCCATCAGCTGACACATGAAAAAGGAGTCCAGAGGGTTCTGGGCTACCTGGTGCCCAATGGAGGAGACTGTGCTCTGCAGGCGCTGGCTTGCCAGCCTAACTCTGCCCAAGAGGCCGAGTGAGTACTGCACCACCCTGCTAAAGAAGGAAGCGGAGCTACCTGGGGCCCTCTCTGCTGAGGCGGGGGTGGTGTTTGCCCGTCCGTTTCCATCACTCGCCATGGCGTCCTGCAGAGGTCCCTTGTTGTCCTGGAAGAACGTGGGGGAAGTTAAATTCATGTTAGAATTGAAAACTTCACATGTACTGAACATGCTGAACTAGGAGAGCGTCCCGCTCGCAGTTGTGACACCCCACGTAACCATCGCACAAGGCAAGGTCTGAACCAAGTATGTTCCTTCTCAGTTTATGGCTTTATTAAAGCTCTAAAAAACAAGCTGGATATCCAAGAAAGGCAAAGCAGTAAGATCTCTGAAGTCTGCTCTTCTGGGAAATAAAACAAGTACCGTTTTTAGTCTTTATTTTTGGCAGGAGGTACGGCACATACGTTGGGATGGCTCCATTATCCTTCCGTAAAGGAGGAGTAAGGCTTCAGTTTGTACTAATAAAAACTGAGAAACAGGCAGAAAGACAGGCACCAGTACTACTATGAAGGAAAATATAATCTAAGGGAGAAGGTCAGTTTGCAGCATACAAGCTAAACGGAACTTGTTAAGAGACCACCATGCAGCTTGCTCAGTGTAAAAATACTGAAAAGGGTTTTGAGGAGAAAAATTAAGTGCCTTGGATTGCAATGACAAAAGCTGAGAGACTTTTCTGTAATACACAGTGTGTCTTCATCCCATATTTAAAGCACAAATGCTTCCACTATGATAGCATAGGAAAAGGGATATCCCTTCTTTTCACACAGGTTCCCATTAACACACAGAAAACCTTCAGAAATGAAGGTAAGTGATCTTCATAGTTTATGCAAGTGGGGTAAAACTTTATGTTTCTAAGGAAAAGCAAACAATTTGTTTCATCTTAAGAAAAACCATGGAGAAACAAAGCAAAACTAGAACTGGTAACACTATTCATATAGTCTCTGCAGGGACTGAGTAAGAACTTCAGCTGATAAGAAAACAAATCAAAAATTCTGTTTCGAATGGGATAGTACAGAATTTCATAATAAATACCATGAAAAAAGAAGTAGTAAGTAGAGGAAGTGCTTTTAATAATATTTGTAGAACTGCAAGCTTTCATGATATAAAAAAGCAACTAAACGCACTCTGAATTTTTCTACTTAAAAAAACCCCACCAAAACATCATATGTACTTTCTCAATGTTAAGAATCAAAATCTATTACCACGACACGTTAAATGAAAATAATGAGTTACCTTTCCTGACAGAGGACCCACTGCTGGCCTCTTTCTTTGAGCATAACCAGAGAGCCGGTAACAGTAGTGAGGCTTACAGTAGAATTTACCTGCAGATAAAACACAAATGATGGTCAGCAATGAGAACACAGGAGTTTAGCACAATATAAATGCCCATCTCACTGCAACTTATTTTCCGCTGCCATTCCTGTTGCTCCCTCCAGTTTCTTCACTGCACAGGGGAGGCAAACACTATCTGAAGTTTTTAACTCCAGCCCTCCTCTCTCCCCCTCATAACTAGCCTCCTTTCCATTGGGTGCCTGACAGCCATTTAGTTTAAAATCCTATCAAACACCAAAGCAAAGCTGTGAGGCTTGTGTGGTATCACATGCTAACAATGCGGCAGTGTGTGAGGAACAAAGAAATCATCACATGAAAAGCTGGCAGAAGCACTTTTGGAAAAAGCAAGAATGAATACAACCAGCAGAGGAAAGTGGGTGAGGACAGTGTTAACTCCCAAAGAACCATCCCTCAAAGTGCACAGTGTCTACTCGTAGAAAGGACAATCAAACAATGTTTCATTTTCAAAAATAAGACCTTTTGTGATACTAGAGGTTTAATAACACCCCAGAAGTCTAGATAGGTTTTTCACTGGTATCTGAGCACTGTCAGGAAGACAAAGCAGCACTAGTAACACCATAATACAAATAATAGCAGCAAATGGATGCCATGTAATTATCTTCCACTGTACCTTTGCCAGCGTATCATGCTTGGTATATGCAGCCCATAGCATCCCCTATTGCTATCCCATTCCTAGAGCTTTGCTAATGCATTCCCAACATATATTTTGACCTCTATCTCTTTCTCTAGGCTAGTATTCGCACAGTTCTTTGTTTTATGGTGGAAAAGTGACAAACATTATCTACTGAAGTCTTTACTTAAATAAGCATTTCTTAATATTTCCACTTTCCAAAGACCACTCCAAGACTGTCTGAAATGAGCAACAGCAGAAAAGCTCTTAGATAAAAATTCCCAGACTTTGAAGCCTTCAACCAGACACTGACTGCAGAACACTGCAGAATGCTTATCACTCCCAACAGCTACATGAACAGCAACAATGTGTGTATAGCTTTGTTGTTTTTTTTTTCCTCCCAAAGAAAACTCAGACTGAAATATAAGCTGAATTTTCACAATGATGAGATTAGACGAGATACCACATATTTCTGTTTGGTCATATCCTCTTCATACACACACACAACTGTTAGGCATGGAATATCATTTCAGAATCAATGCTATCAGTGTGGTGAAACTCCCAAGCTCTGTGTTTGCTTCACTGAGAACTATCTGGCCATAACTGCATACACAAGCTTGCTTGCAGAGGGAATCACTAAACCTGGTGGTAAAAACTGTTTCAGCCCATACAGCTGACAAAGGAGCCCAGGCTGTTACTGTTTAACATACAGTCAGGTTTTCAGTTACTTGTGAATGCCCAAAATAACAGCAGTGCTCAAAAAAATGCTTTTTCCCAACTGGCAAAGATGTTACTTCTATGTGCTGGTTTCAAAATGACCATTGGCCCCTTTAAACTCGCCTGCCAAGTCTGCTGACCTTCTGAACGAGAAATAAAGGGTTTTCTATTCCTTACTGGGAGTCTGGTTCGATGATTCTAAGTTTCCTCAACTTTTCACAACCAAGCAAGTCCACTACTTAAAGTCATTATACAATGCATCATGAACATATAACTCTGGTTCTTTTTGCCCCTTAAGCCTAGGTAGTGTTTCCATGGCCATTACTCCACCCAGTATATGTAAAAAGATTCTTCCTAGTTACATGCAGTAGATACCTATCCATTTGATAACACTTCCACTTGCAGTAAAATATTTTGGAGTTTCATCCTGTGGCATATCGGTTTATAATTTATCTTCATGTTTGCCAATGAGCAGGGAAAATTACCGGTACAAACTTTTTTTCCTGTTACCTCTGTTTTCTATACCATCATGTTCCAAGCAGAATCCTTTGCACCTAACCTGTCACATGGTTTTACAACATTTTGCACATACTTTCCTATTGAGATAGGATTAAAGATAGGCAGCTGTGGAAGAAAACAAAGACATACCCGCTGATGTAAATCAACATTTATCTGACATACTTTCTGGTATATTTTCTTCAGAAATGTCACATTTTAATCAATCACTGCCCAAGCAAAGATTGCAACATATCGCTACTCTTAGAAGGAGATTACATTTCTCAAGTGATGGGTGCTTTCAAATTATTACTTTCAATATGCACACTCTTGATAAATTGAGTTTCATCTGCTGCCACATTATCTGGATTCTCAGACCTGTAGAGTATATCTGAAGCTTCTCTTAATTCTTCACGTTAGATGCTATTAACTGAGTCATCAGCAAGTTTTGCAATCATATTCCTTCCTCCTTAGTCTATCAGATATAGAAAATGAATCATTACTGAATCTTCAGTAACTACTTCAACACCACTCTCTCTGTAACACTGCCTCACCTCTGTGCAACCTTGATGCTCCACTTTTTGCTATATAAACAGAACTTAGTTGGTAATGATCTATTATCGTAGTCCCTGATTATAAAGTTCCTATTTTAGTACATCTAAAATAAACACACTGAGTTGGAGAGTTGTGATGTCTTCAAGAAGAACAAGCTGACTACATTTCTCTCAAACTTGGTTATTTTCTCTTAAGTGGTATTAAACACTAAGGGGTTTTATTTAAAAACTGTCAAATGAGAGTAAAGAGTCTAGCTTTCAAACTCAGCCTCCAAACCCTTTCAAAGCCTCCAGCTACTATTTGATTCTCTGCATTCTAGCAGCTGTTATTAAAGTTCAATTAATTCCTACGAGCTCAGTTATTTTGCTGTCAGCATGACCTGGCCACAGGAAATCCATAAAGCTTCAACAGTTGGAGAGATGGTGAACAGCAGGAAGAGTTACTCTCTTCCCTAACTCACCCAATAATTTTTTAAGCAAAAAAAAAAAAAAAAAAAAAGAGCTGCAATCACTCAACAGATGATCCAGGACAGGTAAGAGAACTCTCTGGCAGAAAGGCAACTTCTCTTACCATCTTCGATGTCGTAGGCGTAGGACGACAAGCGCAGGGTGGTCGCACAGTACTCGCACTTGAAGCAGCTGCGGTGGAAGAACTTGCCCTCAGCACTGAGCCTCTCCATCACATAGACCCGCTTGCGGCAGAAGTAACAGACGTCGCTGCCTCCCAGGTTTTGGGGGAACTCCTTTTTGAGCGAGCCCTAGACAGAAACAGGGATGGTTAAATCCACCTGTGTCCGGCCTCACTGAGATCACACCGTCCCATCTTCTCTTCATTTACGTGGATACAGGAGCACCTAGATGCTGCAGTTCTTGGACATAATTCACAGTTTTAACCAGGACACCAAAAACTAACCTTATCGTCCAGGAAAAAGGGTCCTAGGATTCCATGCCTACATATAATCAGGAGTAAAATAAGCTCTGGGTGGATGAGTGGACACCGGTACTATTAATGATGACCTTGAAATAAATCACTTTAGGAGGCATGTATGATGGAAAGCCAAAACCATTAGAAAAACCTTCAAACCAGCAATTCTTAGACCTACATTATCAAAATCATTATCTCCTCCAGAATGCAGTAGAAGTAAGCAAAAGTATTACGGACAGTTTCTCAACTAATTTAGCCCAATCCTTGGACGCTGAGATTAGATTAAAATATTTGGCAAAGAAAATGAGGACAAGAGTGAGGGTGGATGGAAAAAGGGAAACAAAGTCTTTCACAAAGCTACAACAGGTTCCATCAGTGGTGTAACAACTGGACATTCACAATACTTCAGATCTACAGGACATCTAATCACAAACACGCATCACCTTCGGCACATGGTCTTACCAGTTCCTTCTTGTCTAGAAGGGTTTTGGGTTGCTCTTTCCTTTGAAGCTGATTGGCTATCTGCTCAGCCAATGAGCTCACTCCGCCTGTGTACATCTTTATGTACTTCTACCAGATGGGTTGGATAAAACAATAGTGAAGTGGGAAAAGAAAAAAGAAATCAAATTAAAAAAAATAACTAAAATGATGATAGGTTAGGTGGTGAAAAAGTGCAGAGAGGTCAAATCATGCCAAGACAGTGGACAATATGAAGTGACAAGTAGTAATAGCAAAGCCAGTGTCATCAGAAATCACCAGTCCAGTCCAGGATCACCTGTAAGAACGGACAGGGAAACCTGCATTTTGCAATTGTCCAAATGCTCCAGAAATACTACGATGATGAAGGGAGCAGGTCTTGTTTTCACTTATAGGGTATTTTGCACCCAGAAACCTGAGAATAGACACTCCTAAAAGATGAGGCTAAATATAGGTTAAGATTTTAGGTTCCAGGTAAAATTGGCATCAGAAACAAAGATCTTTTAGAAGACATGTCACACTGATTGCAGAAATGTATTTATATGCTCAGCAACCGGGAAGAATTCATTTACAGAGCATTCACAGAGCAGGGAGAAGTCCTTAATTAAGGAACTCACAGTGATTCAAAAAACATTAATTCTTCCAGTGCTAAAAATACAGAGGTGTATATGGAAAAAGATGGAAGAGCCTCATCCAATGCATTAAAGCCATACCTGCATACATCTGGAACACATACTTGTTCAACTGTGAACACGGCTTTACGACTTGGCTTTTCTCCATCATGGATACTGACTGACTGCGTAACTTTGGATACCTAAACCCCTCCAGTATTCCGAGGAATCTAGGCAAGTTGGCTGTTACCTTAGAGGGTACAAAATGAGTGTCTGCAAGCCAAGTTCAATCACTGCAGGAGCGGAGGAAGTGTTTTTCACAGGAAACACAACCGTTGGCAATAACGACACGGTTAAGAAAATGATGTGGTTACATCCATGTTAGCTCAATCACACTGCAAACGCCACGCATTTGACCCGGAGCAGCAAGGAGCACGCCAAGCAACTTTCCTTTTCCAGAACAGGAAACGTTTCTAGTTGGAGACTCAGCTAATACAGGATCAGAGAGACACTCCAGCTTCTAGCAAGTGTAAAATATCAAGCATAATAAAAGGACTATAGTTGTATCTCAAACCCCCCTTTTGCTTGTATAGCACAACTTGCTTGAAGCACACTAGTTATTTCCCACAACTAATAGCCAGTTTAATATGTGTGGTTATTAGCCTTTCAGCAATGTTTAAGACCTCATATGTTCAGATATGAGAACAGCAGGAAGCATCACAAAAACTGAATCTTGCCACAGAATGGGTACTTCTATGGGGAAAAAGACTTGGAAAATGGAGTGCTCAGCCAGAGACTACTGCTGCTGTCACTACAGTTCTAATTCTTTAAGTTCTTTGTCACTGAGGATTTATTTCTACCCAGAAAGAACTTATACCTGTCTACTGATTCCATTCCAAAATGCAGAGCACTTGCAGTATTTCTATATGCAAGAAATAACAAAGGATTTGTCTTTCAAAATTTTCCAGGTTCCATATTTTTCCTCAGTCAGTGTGTGCACACAAAAATGCAGAGTTGCCTTTCTATGACAAATATTGTATCTTGTCAAGTATTGCATTTAAAATGGTGCTCACTTGTTAAAATTTCACTTAGCACTGATCTTTAACTGGCAATCATAGTAGATTTGACCAAGAGTTTTTGCTTTCCTCTAAAGGACTAGAAACCTTTGAGGCTCTTTAACTTTTCTTAAAAGATAGATCAAGCATTTCCATGGGAAAAATGTTTTTAGCTGAATCAGGTTTCTCCTGATCAAGGTTTGATCTGAAACCTTCATTCAACCTTAAATGCAGATCCTTCAGGATCTTTCAGTTTCTACCACCACATATGAGGTTCCGTGCTTACAAAGTGAATATGTTAATATTAACTCACAATACCTTGGACCATCTGGAGTGAGAAATTTAATTGCTGAATTTTTCATTTGGGGTTGTGTGTTTCTGATTTATTTTGCTTTTTTCCTACATATCACACCTGGCCTAATTATGGGTTTTAAATGAAGCATTTTATCTTTCTTCCCATGGTCAAAAGCCTTCAAGATAGACAACATTCTGCAGCATTTTCAAGAGCAGGAAAAGAACCCACTCCAGCTTAGGTCAAGTCAAGTTCCTGCTGTTCATGTATGACAACTGCAACTAGTTCAAATTCTCCGTGATTTTTCGGAAAGCCAAAGTACTTTTTATTTCACACTGTCCATTAACCATATAGGCACAAACACATTCTGCCATTCGGCCCAAAACCTCAACAAAAGCAGCAAGCAAAACCAGAAAGCTTTACTGCAAAGCCAGAAGGACTACCAGTGCTCAAAAAAACCTGGTTTGAGAGTGAGATGTACCAAAAGCTTTTCATTTACACCAAATGTTAAACATATTTAGCTTCAAACTGCTTTATGGCTGACAAGAACCAAGCTGTGCTGGGCACAGGCTGCCTGTGGGTTCTCATTTGTGCATGGCTATGCACAGATATTGTGTTCTGCAGGTGAAGCATTGCCAAGCCTGGCCATCTCTCGTGGTGTGTCCTTGGCAAGCAAACACAGCTGGATGCACCTGGCAATGCCCAGGCCAAGGCTACCTGTCGGAGGGAGTCGGATGAAGGTGAGGAAGGGCGATTGGAAGAGCGGAGGCTAAGGGAGAGTTCCCACTGGTCAACAAAGAATCGGCGAGACGGTTCAGTCTCAGGCTAAAAAATAAAATGAAAGTCAAAACAATCACACATGGCTACAGAGGGAAGAGAAGAGAAAATGAAAAAAAAAAAACAAAACCAAAAAACAAACCACTCATGCCTTTCTGGCCACCATCAAGAACAATTTCTTAAAGACTCTTGCAGGAAAATATCCAGTGCATCTTCACTTTCTCCCTAGCGAGGCAGAGTAAGTCATTCTTAATTTGCTTTTTATTAGGTTTTAAGTTATTTAGGACCATTTGGAAGCAGTTACCTACTTCCACAGATGTCCAATCTCCTGTAACCCAACCAACTAAGGCACTGGCAAAGATTCCAAATCAATTTCCTCTGCTTCTTCTGTATCTCCCATCGTTCTCTATTACTGGCCCAAGGCACTAAGATCATCTTTCAGGCCATGTGAGACCTCTTCTATATTTTAACTATATAAACCAAAAGCCTACTCTCCTGGGGGTGGAAGAGAAAGAAATTAGCTTGTATGCATTTCCTGTAATTAGCAGCAAATTTCCAACCTTAAATTTACTGTAAGCAGATTAGAAAAATCACACAAAAAAAGAATGAATCAATATAAAATAATCTGCTGCTCTTGCTTATCAAATGGCAAAGAATAAATCACAATCTGAGAATCTGCATCCTTCTGAAACTGGTTCTTCACAGAAGAACCCAAAATTTGGTCTTCCAATATACCCTTGTCATTATCTCTATGGATTATTATGCCCCTCTCACAAGAAATATATCATACAAATAGGAAAAAAACAAAAGCTGAAAGTGTCAGACAAACAGCAGTACTGATAGAAACCACACATTTCTAAAAATTATAGTCTGGAAATAAAAAATACACAAGTTTCAAACAATTTACTGTCTTTGAAAAGAAAGTTATGATTTTAGTAATAAAAAGGAAAAATAAATGTCATGTAACTGCATGACCCATGAAAATATCTACTTCTAGCCACTTAGGATAGGCTAACCTCAAGATTAAATTTACTGGACAAAATGCAAAAGAGCTTGGCTTTCACAGTTTCACCAATTTAAAGAAATATAATTGTTAATACACAAATTTTCCATACTTAAGATCATCAACATTTAATCAAATTTCTTCTTGGAAAATGTCTTACTTTCCTAAGTTGTCTTTCTCTTACCAAACTATTTTTCTTGTTTTCTTCCCTTACATTCCACACCATAATCCATCATTGCTTGCAGTGTTCCAACATCTGTTTCCTCTTTTTCCTCTCTGCCCTACCCACTTTATGCTTTCCTCTACTTTGTGCTCTCTGTCTCCCCTCCATTTTCTCTCCTTTTCAATTCTGCACAATGCAGACATCAGACAATTTCAAAAATAATTTCTACCTTTGCTTTGCAATGCTGTTAATCTTTTACACCCTCAAGAGGAGCTTAAAGTCGCCAGAGAGCAACACAAAAGGCAGGAGCAAGATGTTTTGGTCTAGATCTTCGTTTCTGTATCATCATTTCAACTGCATAAGAAAATGCACATGAGCATTGTGGATCATGCCCAAGATCTTCAATTGTGTCACTCATTAGGAAACAGGTGCCACTACATTTAAACCAGTCTTCTCATTCAGTCTTTCATATCTTGTTCTACGTCCCCAAATCACAAATCTAGCCAAAGGTTCACTGTTCCTTCCGAGAGAACAGCTTCACTGGTTTTAATCATCAGTAAAGATGGCACCCCAAAAAAACCCCAGCAATGAAAAGTGACCTAGAAGCTATAAATTTCCTTTCAGCATGGCTTGGAAAAGTTATGCCTACCAGCAAACATTCTGGGACTACTTATGCTCCAGCTCATGAAGACAGCTTGATTTTAGATGGTTAATTCAAAACAATAAGTTACGGAAAACAAAAAAATCACTTTTGTAGATGGCATTTTCCAAAAGTACTCTGCAGTTTGCCAAATGCTGCTGAAGGTAACTGAAAACAGAAATAGGGGAAGCAACTAAAGAACCCCAGCTCAAACTGGCACATTCCCATATCCCAAAGACAACACACTGGAGAGAAAATTAAGCACAAAACCAAAACAAAACAGAAGAGTATACTGGAATCAAAGGAAACCCACACAAGCTGCCAGCTCTACCATTGGAAATAACTATGCAGGAAGCATGGACACAAAAGTAGTACTTCGGAGCCAGGAATAATGCTTGGAAAATGTGAATGTTCTTGCTTCCAGAAGAAAGTAAATCTGTGAGCAGCTGACTGGTAAATGACCACTGTGAGATGATTTGATCTGGAGCCCAGCTGGTTTTCAGCATCTACATGCTTAAGTTTAGAGGCTGTTTTTACTTTATTTTTTATATTGCGTTTTGAGGAACAGAAACGCTGTCCCTCACCAAGCAAGGAGACAGCTAAGAACTGGCAAGTCAGATTAAAACACTACACAAAATAGACTCGACTGTCATTTTAACCACATGACTGTAGAGCAGTGGCCACTGTATTTTGGTGAATTTTTCTCTGTGCCCCCAGATTTCACCTGTACCCAGAATCCCGCACTGACACAGGACACCAGATAGGCAGGGCTGTCATCACCTGATGCCTCACTGCACGTCTGGACTCCAGGAGGGCAGCCAGCTGACATGCCCTTTGCTCAACATTCTCAGGCACTTGGTCACCAGAAAATAAACGAGGAGATCTCTGTGAGACGAGGAAGGAGGGAGGAAGTAAACAAACCAGCAAAAGAAAGCCCCAAAAGGAAGAGACACCAAAATGCCAGCCAAAAAGGTATGACATTCACATGCAGAACAGCAAGAGGAGCTCTCATGTGAAGACTTTTTCCCCCAGTGTCTACTGCCCTAATGAAGTGCTACATTTTGACCATCAAGGGCAAGAAAAAACAGTAGATTTAGTTGTTATTCACAACTCTCCCACTAGGACCTGCTGCAGCCAAAACCAAACAAGCGCGTAGCCTCTCTCTCTGGCATTACCATCAAAAAATAATTTAAAAATGTGGCTTTATCATGCACAGAGGAGCTTATTTGTCAGTTTATTTCCCCATAGTTCTCCATTCTCAAGGATCTCCTTTAAATATCTAAACCTGTACTTATTTGTTTCTCAGACTTTGCGCACAGAGTCACATATATTCTCAAAAAGAATAGAATGAATTAATTTCCTAAAGATGGTGGTATATGCAAAGTGAATGCTCTACATGCCAAAGAGAGGATGTTTTAATGAGCCTGGCTGGTTGAAGCTAAGAACAGCAAAACCAAATACTCACAGAAGCTGCCAGTTTTACTTCTGCAACTTCACTGTCCTACTTATTCTTACTCCACTACCATGTCAACACACCACAGGCACAATATTTGACACCTCCGCTATTCTGGTCTTTCATATCAACCTTCCTAAACTGTTGTGTGGTGCACTTGGTGACATGGAAAAATGACCTGGCTTGTGGCCTGCTGTATAAAGCAGGAGTATCACTTGCAGTATCACACAGACTTCAGCTAATTTGTTTGTAGAGTACAAAAGCAAATGGACCAGGAGCTACAAACATGTGCATTAAGAAACCTCAGGTCTGATCTGTCAAGAATGCCAGGGTACTGCTTTGTATTGTTTATTGTCCTCTAATGCACAACAGAAAATTGGGTTCACACCCAGTTTACAAGAAACATTTTTCCCATTCAGATGCATTAATAATACTCTCTACTTTCAAGCTGCTTTCAGTTCCACCTACTCCTTCCTACTAGATCATTTTCAATAAAACTAGGGCCTATTACAAAGCTGTGGGCTTCTGTGTCGCTGCAGACACGCGTATTCATTTTCTGTTGCCTGTCAGAAAACATTCGGCCCACAAGAGGCTTTTGTTAGAACACATTCTGAAAGTTGCAATAGTTTTATTGCTGGCTACCACTTATGACTTAATTCACTCAAAGCCTTTACTGGAATGTCAATTAATTTGTCAATATGAATTCAAATCAACCGATCCTTTTGAGTGCCCATCTTTTCTTTTCCCATGCTTCTGTATAATACTGAGCCATTCAGACAGACTGTTGAATATTTCATTGTTAAGAAGGCTTCAAAGTCTCTATACTAAATAATGCCTCATCATTTTTCGTTTTACTTTGGCCTGTAGGAGGCAAGATGGAATGCCAGTTGTTTAACCATCCAGAAAGCAAGCAGTGAAAACAATGCAACCACGTTCGCATGAATTAGCACAAAACATAACTCTTCTTGTTCTGCTCCAGCCACAGCATACTTTGCTAAAGAGGTGTAAGAGGAAAAGGAGAATGAGAAGAGCTCAAGTGCTAGATCTAAGGCAAAATAAAAGCATATAGCACACTGTTGATGAATGCTTGTTATGCATTTACGTGGGTATCACACAGAAAGGATCGCTCCTAAATGACTCTCAGCAGTTCCAGCGTGTTAACAGCAGCATTAGGATAAGTGTGTTTCACTACCCAGTATATTTGCTCTCTGTATTGCACACATCCACCACAGCTTTGTGTCATCATTGCACACATCCACCACAGCTTTGTGTCATCAGTGTCCATGCCATTTGTTCATGCTCTTTACCCTCTCCTGTCTGGGACTCTGCTCCCCAGGATAGCCGGCACCAGGTTCCCTGAATCTCTGCAGGCAACAAATTATGAGCTTAAAAACAATCACAGACCAACCTCCTAATCAAAACACACTTCATCTGATTTTTTTTTTTTATGAAGCAGGTAGAAGAGAGGCCGTAACAACAGCAGAACAGTTTATTAAGTATATTCTAAACCTGGCAATAACAAGTTGGCTCCTGTAGAGAAATTTTTTTTTAAGTATATATTCATATGAGGTCAGTAAACAACAATATAGTACCATAATGTAATGAAATTAGTACAATAAAGAATGAAAGACACTCAATATAACTCATACCGTGAAGTTAGTTCAAAGGAAGGAAATGAAGAGTTTAAAAGAAGTGGCAGAATGGATGCATTAGATGTGCAGAGGTAGAGGTTTTAAGAGAGAGAGTAACAAGGACACATCTGTCTGACTTGCTATGAGGCTTGAGCCAAGATAATTTCAGGAAAAGAAATCATTCCTAAGGAAAAAAGAATGTCTCCAAAAGAAGACTACTCAACTGAGTCTAACAGTTCAGTTCTGTAGCACAGAGGGTAAAAATTCCTGAGAGTTAAAAGAAAGAAGACTGATTTTTCTTTTAATTATTTCTTTGAGCAAGAAGGCAGGCAAAAAAATTTTCTGTGGGATACAACATAGAAAATGATCAAAGTACACTTGAACCCAGCAGTAGCTGGCTCTCAAGACTGAACTAGGCAACCAAAAAGACACAGGACAAACAAACACTTGGAGAGGCGAGGGAAGGAAAATACAGAGCTGCCAGATCCTTAGTGACTGAAAGCAAATTTCTCTATATGGAAAATGAATCCCCATGCTATAGATTAGAAAACAAAACTCAGCATTTAACTGCCTTAGTTTCTCTATTTGTAAGCTTGGGGGGAACCCTTCTCCTTTCATAAAACATATCCCCCAAAGTTCTCAAAGGATTTTGACAAGAGGAAAGCAGCAAGCTATGGACATCATCTGATAATGTCATGCTCCAGTCGAAATGCAGGTTTTGCTAATGAAAAGGGCTTTCCCCACCCATTCTACCTCGATGTCCGTTCCCATATCCTTCCTTGCACTCTACACTGTCCACAGTGTGGCAGAAAACCAACCACCTTTTTTCTTAGGACAGGTTCAAATGGGATCAGTAAGCAGACCTGACGTGTTGTGCAGATGCAGACCACAGAGGCAGCAAAGAATGTGTGTTCTGGAGGCTGGCAATAATTAGACCAGATAAAGTGCAACATGTAATTACTCTGAGAAATCACAGCAATAAGGTAAGTCAAACTTTATGACAAAGAATAAAACTTGTCTACTCTGCTAAAAGGTAACATGCCCTTACAGAGTTTATGGGCATACAAGTGTTCAGCAAAGAAATATTCTCTATCTACGGGGAAATTCATTTGTACAATCTTTATATGAAGTAATAGAACTTCAGCTACCTTTTATGACCTCAATAGTAGTTCAGGATTGATCAGAAAGGAGTGGATTTTATTATGGCAGTAGGAAAATTAAACAAACATTAAAAAAGGAATACAACTCAAAGAAGCACAATGACAATTACAAGAAGACAAAAATATTAAAGGATTTCAGGTAACATTTAACTAGGACAACAAATGCACGTGCACAAATATCTGGATGCGTGTTTACGTACTGGCTCAAAACAGCTATCACTGCTCCAGGTTCAAAGTCAGACAGACTGAACACAAACTCTTGTGAGACAACAGCCTGAGTGTGGGGGAAATAGAAGGACCACAGTGGACATGTGCAGGCCACTACAAAACCCCAAAAAAGCACTTCATACAAATAATCCTAAAAAAGTTTTATGGATACAAGGGCAAATTTTGAGTTGAAAATTTAAATTAAGAGTGGAGATGGAGTAAAGTTTCATTTTCTTTCCCTCCATTACTCCAAACACTTCTTTTCTACTTTGCTGTATCTTAACACCAAGAAAGGCTACTGTAATTAAAAATTAGCCTATAGCAAAATCTGAGTCTCCAGTGGAGCCTCTCCATGTTTCCAGTGAGACAATGCTGCCCTATGTTTCTAACCTCAGAGGCTGAGAAAGCCCTATCAGCATCTGAAAAAAAAGAAAATTGGAAATCTCTTTGTAAATGGGATATCTGGTAACTGATCTAGTCACTTGTACAAGCAGCAATGAAGAGAAAGGGACAGAGCATGCAGAGGGAATCACCTGCTGCCTGGGATACGGTGGAGAGGAAGATGGAGTGGAAGAGAGCATGATCACTTTTTTGGGGCAGGTCCGAGAACGTTCCTTATGCCTCATCTTTTTTTAAAACAGAAAAAGAAAAAAAAAATTCATAATAATGGTAGAAAGGAGATAACATTACCTCTGGTCTGGTAAGACAGGCCAGAACACACGAACTGAGAGACTGTGACCTTAAGCTCACACCTCTCACAAATGACCAAAAGCCACAGTTTATCTGAAGCTTAGGGACCCAAGTTTTTTATGCAGAGCCACATGATCACAGCCAAACACAGACTTATATCAATCAATTAAACCAACAGCTTCTGACTCAAGGTCTTACAACCAGTGAAAGGCAAAACTTGGAACCCTACACAGCACAGTTGGACTGCTCTCTTTGCTTCATGAAAAATTACTTATTGCTTTGCCTGGCAATGTTTAAAAATATCCATCCCGTTGACCTAAATACTCTGGCTTGCAGTTCATTAGTAATACAATTCAAGTCACAGCATTCTGTCCTCAGCTTCAGATCCCTCTTCTTAAACTTCCAGATATTAAACCATCTTTAAACCATTTTTAAGTTAAGCTGTACTACATTCTAGCAGAAGAGAAATACAGCTGGTTTATAGCCAAAATGCAGCTGTACCTAGTAGTCTGAATATTACACAATTGCACATACAAGTCCTCAATTTCATGTCCTTCTAGTGCTGTACCTCCTTACTATGTACAGTCTTTTCTGCACCACCACTTCTTGTTTATTAATGTATCTTCTGCCTGATATTTCCTTTACTTGTGAGTTCTCACCAGAGCATATCTGGAAATGGTTGCACTGTGAAAAACAAAACATTGTGTCCCCACAGCCACTGTTAGATGAGTCTCCAAAGAAACTGCACATGGTTTAAAGGAATTACAGATGTTCATTACTCCCCTTGCAGCTGAGCTGGCACTAACATCTGTTTGGGTGTTCTCTTCCCTTTCAGCAAAAAAAGTAAATAAATAATCAATTCTTCTATTTCAAACAGATGCTACAAGCAGCTTAAACTAAAACATATGACTTTGCACTGAAGTGGATGAAGACTATTCATATGTTGTTTCAAAAGGCTCATCTATGAAGTCACTGATTTCTAGCTGAAAGGATGGTAACATTCTCAATCACAGAGCTGCTCATGGGTTTTCATCTGACCATGGCCAAGTTTGCATTTCAAATGGCAAAATTTTCACAAACTTGCTTATTTTTCCAAGGCAGACCTCAGAATATAACACTGTATAGGTATATGAGATACGTGTTCAGTCCTCTAGTAGGATGTATTTCTGAGCATGCAAAGACAAGGGTGACTGTAGGAAAGAGGAAAAATACATCAACAGATTTAAATAAGAAATCTAAGTTTAAAAAGCAGTATTTGCAGAAATCATTGGCGTTGCAAGTTCTCTTCTGTTGACATTTCAGCTCTTGCTGTCTGTGGTCATCTCGGTCATGGCATATCTTCCAGAAACAGTTCCAACAAAGTTACTGAAAAGTTTGTAATACTGCCCTTTATCACACTTTAGGGAATCACCTCAAAAGAATAAGCATCAGATCTCTAAAGGCAGAAAAGATGTGCACCAAAGGATATGGGATCTCCATCTTACAAGTGTCTTTCTACACATCAGTGATCTAAGCTTATGTATTACACACAAAAGTTGCTGCTGACAGGAGATCTATGAAACTATAGCAGAAAACTGCTGAAGGCCATAAGCTGAGAGTCTGGAAGTCCAGGACAAAATTCAGTTTAAAAGGCTTGTCTCCAGTACCATGTCCAGTCACATCCTCTTCTGGATAGACCATATGGCTTTCAATGCTTTCATGATCCCCGATGAGATGCTATTTCCCAAAAGCAGCCAAAATGGCTCAGAAAGCAACAGAACATGATCTCATACAAGAAGGCATTCATTTGAGGAGATTAACTTCCATGCCATGAAATACAACCCAGCCTTTTTAGGAGATATTACCATCATATAAGAAAATCACATTTTTCTTTACTATCATATAAGAAAATTACACACATTTCCACTGTGCACATACACTTCACGGTATCTTCATGCATCAGTAGCTGCTGCTGAGGTGCTCATAAGAACACGAACTGAATTTTGACAACGCAGGTCAACATTCTCAAAGTGTAGCTCAATAAATCAAACTTTATAATCCAATTCACAAGGAATGCAGGCCACACTAAATGCTGAGGAGCAGACTGGTGAGGTTTTTTAAGCCACTTGCTCTTTAGCCTTCCCCAGAGAGACACCATTTAAGTCTTGTGATGAAAGCAAAAAGCGCTTCAGAGCAGATTCTGCCAGGATGCCACTCCTTCTAGGAATTCTGTTGTAGCAACCACCCCTACCCCACCTATACAACACACAGAGTTGCATTCTGCCTAACAAGCTCAGTGAATCACCTCATACCAGGGCAAAGCAAGATTCTAGATTTAAACTGATAGGCAAATACAGCTAAGGAAATTCATCTGACAGACACTACCAGGCAGTAGCCCAAGGCAGATGCAAACTTCCCATCAAAACTATGGGTCCAACCCAGAGCATATCCTCTGGTTTATCCCTTGCAATCACTCTTATGCTTTTGCTGTATAGTTTCCTCTTCCATGCAGTTTCCAAAACACAGGAAGGACCAAACCTGTCAACCACATAACTGCCCTTCTGCCAAAGAGCCCCGAGAAACTCAACATCATGTCCTAAGAAACCTGTGGTTTCCCTCAATAACACATCACCCTTTGTCCCCTTAGGAACTCTTTTGCTCCTCCTCTTCAAAGCACTCTTCAGTAGAAAGCATTTGCTATATGATATATCTAACAGTCACTAACAGAAGTTTCTGCTCATGAACCTCAACTCCTGTGCCAAACGAGAGAAACAACTTTCCAATAGCTTCATGAACAGCTCTTTCTAGCAAACATACATCCTCCTAAAGAACTTGTCAGGAGCAATACTAATCCTGTACAGCGTGTCCTGTGACATGTACTGGTACCCAGCACCAACTCTCCCCTTGGCAGTCTGTAGCCCAGGAAATAGCTTTAAGGCCAGCTTTAAAGTGCCCAATGTCGCTGCAGAAAGCCATTCCAGTACCATCAAGAGGTGCAGTCCCACCACTGCCACAATCTGTGTGCAAGAAACCACAATTACGAGTCTCAGCAGCCAGCCCAGGGGCTGCTCCAGCAGCAACTTCCTGCAGGATGGATTGCTGTCCAAGCTTGGCAAAGCTGGCTGCTTGGCCCAGTGGATGGCTTTCCACCTCAGTTCATCTTTGATCAGTCAAGAATAAATGGTTCTATATGTGTCCATGGCTTTTGAATGAAGGTAACCAATGTTCTTCACTTCTCCAGGTGAGCAACTTTGGAACAGGAACTCTCTCAGTTGGGTTTTTGCATCCTTGAGACTCAGTTTTACGCTTCTCCATTTCAAAAGCACTGCAAATTCAGCATGAAATCTGGACCCAAGAATCAATCATCTTCTATTGACGCAGTAAAGCCCATCAAGGAAAGATCATCTCCTTGTGTAATCTTGAAAGGGAAATCATCCACACAAGGCAATCATTGTCAGTATTGAAGAAAATAATTTAAGTCCCCTGAAAGAAAAACTGCTACAAAAAGATTTTTAAAGATATGCCCTACATTGCTGCCTACAAAGAGATGCTATCAATGTTGAAGGAGAGCAGAGATTTTTTTTCCTTCCTTTTGTTTTGTCTTTTTTTTAAATTGTGTAGTGCAGGTAAAAACAAGAACAAACACAGGAACAACAAACTGCTCTCTGGTGAGGAGAAAATGCTATTAAAAGCAAGAAACAAAAGTTCATCCTTTTTTTCTAACCAATTACAGAAGGAAGACAATAAGAACTTCTTCTGTTTCACTATAAGGGCTTAATTATAAAGCCTTCATAAAGTTTCAATAGCAGGTTCAAGGAGGAATCTCAAGACTGTCAAATGTGATATTTTCCAAGTGCTAAAACACAAAACTTCATTTGCTTGACCAGAGAGAGACAGCCAGTGCAATCCAGTCTTCCTTTTTTTTTGGGAGGTAACATAAGCAGTGCTCATCAATTGACTTCATATTGTAGGGCTTTTTGGTATCAGGGTTTTTTTCTTTTTCCTCTTTACTTGGTAACTGTCCTTAAAAAATTAAATTTTCCTCAATCACAGATGATGTGCATCCATCTGAAAGCGCTCATTAGCCTGTAAAGAAGATTTTGATGAGACAGAAGGTAGAAGAACAAACACTGAGTCAGGAAACCAAAATGTCTTGACAGTTCTACTAACAATAATTCCCCTGGCTTAGGTCTTCTTCCTTGGAGAGAAACCTTCTAGATCATGGCACCAGTCATGACATGCAGCATTAACTGTGTTGAATACACCCCAAACATGAAGATCACCATGAATCCATATTCATGCAGAACAGTGGATTTCCAAACCCAGTGGCGCCTTCTTCCTCTTGACTCCACAGCCAGGAAGAAGCAGATATTTTTCCAAATTATGGCTGCCTTAAAAATACCTCTCAGCACTCTGAGAAATATGAGGAGGCCACTTGCACAGAGAAACAGTGGAAGCAGAGGAAGCCAGTGAGATAAGTATCCCTATCTGCCTAAAAAGATCATCTGTCACAGGCCTTAACTTTGGCAAGTCTGTGGCTGCAAGAAAAGCACAAGCAATGACAGTGGGCCAAAACAGGGGAGAGAAAATAAAATTTGATACCTGCTGATTTTTCTGCTGATGATCCCTATTCTGAAAACCTCTGTAGCAGAAAACCTGAAATTTACTGAATTCACAATAAGATGGGAATCTGCAACGCAATGAGGGTGAGAAGTTGGCAAGGAAAGCTCCATATGGCATAAAAGAAAGGGAAACCACAGTAAAATCTCTTGCCAGTACAGAACACATAAGATTTAGCATATGAATAGCAAAACTGATAACCAATTTTACTAGTTATGCCAAGGAAGAGCTTTAAAATCATAGATGGTATGACACCTTTTACCTCATGGGTTGCCAAAATTGCTTGCATGTTTTCATTTTTCTTTCTAACAGAAGAATCTAGAAATCCTGTAGCAAAAATTTCTACTGCAGCATCCATTGAAACCCTGGTAAGTTGAAACTATCATAAGGGGGCAGGGAAGATTTGATTAAATCCTTTTGAAACATTAAACCGTGCATCATTACCAAAGGAAGATGTTGACTTTATTCACTGAAAGTTAAATTATTTAAAATAATGGACTTGGACAAGGTGCTGGAAAAGGACTGGTTTAAAAACATGACAGTGATGGCTGGTGTTGGGTGCAGGCAATGCATTGTACTTAGAATCAGTTTCTTTACCTGTTTCCACTGGGGTATGGGAGCAAGACGGCCTTGCTCTCGTCTGCTGGATGGCTGGTTGTGAACACGTTCTTGATAAGGCAGGACAGGTTGCTGCATGCAGGTTGTAGGGAAAATGGGACGAAGGAGGAAAGATAAAATAGTAAAGGAAACTCAAAGAAAGCCACAGGAATGGAATACAGAGTAAGACAGACAAACATTCAAGAAAAAAAATAGGGTAGGGGAGAATTCATTTAGCAAGTAAAACATAAAAAGGAAAAAAAACCATCCAAAAATGGGAAACTTAACATATTTTGGACTTTATCTTTAATTTCACTGTTTCTTCAAATCATTGGCTGAGTATTCTAGTCAATGTGTAGCAGCTGAAGAAACATTTGATTGGTAAAAGGTGGGATAGACATCACCTTTCTGGGATTATGTTACACTACCAAGGCTGATGTGTAGTGTAACATAGAGAAACTTGACCTGGCTTTAAAGTGGCCAGGTCAGGTCCCACTCACAATGTGGCCATGGCAGCACAGAGCTTGGCACAAGCTGTGAAGATGGACTTATGCAGCAGAGCAAGAACTCTGTCACTTAAACCCTACTGCTGACACTGCACTGCCAGCAGGAGCTTGAAGTGACTCAATCTGACTTCAAAGACAACTACCCTGCAGTTGCAGTTCAGATTCCATCCTGAATAACCAGCAAGCCTCAGTTGGAACGATACAAATATCCTGATTGCCAAGAAACTCCCAGGCATTTATCTGCTGCACTTACATACATGTACAAACCTTAATCACAATTCACAAGAACAAACAGATGTAACCTGATATGAAAATGTTCAAATCAGAATGATTGTTCTTGAACTGTGTAAAAGTGGAACATTCCTGGAATGCTTTTAAAGAGCAATAATAGTCATAAAAGAAACTAAATTGCTGGTAATATATTTGTGAAAGAGATTATATAACATAATATAGGCAATTACAAAGAAATAAACTTTTCTTAGGAAGTTCTTCTTCACCTCATACTCATAAATTTTAAACTTCTTTGAGTAAGCTTCACTCTCCTCTAAGAGAGCCTTTGAAGTAAAAAGGGCTAGCATCCAGCCTTGAGGAATGGGTGCTATTATTCCTGATTTTCCTCCACAATTCCAAAATAAAGGTGTTCTTATCCCATCTCCTACCTGTCTCCGTAAGCTTGAGGACGGCACCGGTGCATTCTCTTCAAACTTGGCCAGTAGCTGGGTTGCCATAGACTTGACTTTGTTCTGATTCCCAATGGCAGCATCAATCCTCCTCTCTGTCAGGGCGCTCACCAGTGTGGGCCTTTCTTCTCTGTAGCTCCGTGGGAGGTCCTCCTAAAAAGCAGTGACATCAAAATTCAACAAGATACAACGAGATCACCTTTTCCCCTCTACCCCTTTGTTGTGAAGGGTTTCTAACACTGTAGATAACAAGTCTGATAGCCTGCACTTGCAAGCTCGCATTTTAATTTCCTTTGGCATGTCATCAAATGTTCTGTTAAACTTTACTTATCTTTTCAACCGTATGTGATGCACTTACCTACCAAAGAGGCTACAGCTGAAACACCCTTGTGAATCCCATGACATAAAACAAAGGCCTGTCTTCAAACCTTCTCACAACGAAGTCAAAGCACTGAATTTTAACTCACCTGTACCTATTTGGCTACAAATATTTAATCTGAAAGCCTGCCTTATGGGCCCTACTGGAAAGGTTAGTGCTTTTTGCACTAACCAAGGCTAAAGTTTAAATGTCCATGAAACTTCTAACAATAAGGCATTATTTAACTAAAGTTTTATTCTTGATGTCCTCATCAAACCACAGCAAATTGCTATTAAAATAGAACATCAGGGAACTGCAATATTTCATTTGCTGTGTACTACTCTTTCATAAGGATCAGTAAAATATTTGCGCTAAAGATACGACAAAGTATAATCTTTGAAGAAGAATTAATTCTTGTCTAAAAAATCTTACATAAATCCAGTCTGGATACAAGGAATAAAAGAAGTGGGAATAAGGTACCTACCATGTATTTTCCTCCCTGACACCTTCCTCACTGTAATACTTACATCCTCAGATTGGCTGGTTTTTCTCCTCTTTCCTGCACCATCCAGTTCTTTTTCTTTTTTGTCCTGGAAACAGAAGGAGTAAAGGAAAAAAAAGCAAAGATAAGGACTCTCATATCTTTCTGGGCTGAGATAAATATTATCAGTGCACTTAAGTTACCTCGAAAAGCTTATTTAATTCTCTGGGTTCATTGTCCATTTGGTCAAGAAAAGGGGTATTTTTCCTACATATTCCTTAGAGGATTCTTACCTTTGAACTGGACATTCAACAACACTTTCAACTCATTGGAAACTCAGCAAACAGTTATGATTCAACACAAAATACATCCCCAAATCTTAGCCACAAGGCTAAGATTTTAAGACTGAAATATACCACTAATTGAGAGTACATATTACGGACATAATTTAAAAATGTCATGTATTGTCCCATACCAAGAGCTGGTAAACACGTGGCCTCTTGCAAACACATAGCAGATGCACACTTACACCTGCATTTTTAGTACCACTACTTGGACAGGAGCCTGACAGACACAAGTGTTCCCAAGGCTGTCCATGGTTACCTTGGGAGTGCGTTTCCGAGAGATGCTCTGTCCCAGTTTGCTGAGGAAGGAGATGGGCGACTTGGTACTGGCAATTAGGGCAGCTTTTTCTTCTGCATTCAGGTCCAGACTATCTGTTAGGAAAAACAGGTAGAACAAGGGAATGCCAAGAAGTTTTCTTCTGTGGTGCTGTTATTAAATACACAACTGAAGGACTCACTGATATTTTTTTTTAAACATAACGGTCTTTTCCTTAAATTCTCTGTACAAAATGACTATAATGTCTAGAATTAATACCTTTCTCAGCTACTCTTCCTTTTCATTTTGCCCAAATGAATTCTCCCTTCAGGGTTTATAACCATCCAGAATAAATGCTGTGTTTATTTACTTTTATATTTAAAAAGCACCAAGATCATCAGAATTCTTAAAGAGTGCAGAGTTTTAGAAATAATACCCGACATATTTTTAAAAGGTTACTAAAACCACTTTTTTTCCCCCAACCAGAATAAAAAACTTGAATCATCAGTTATAAAGAAAGATCTATAACAACATTATTAATATTAAAAGGTTGGCCCTATTGATTTGGGTTAGGCAATTACATCTTTCAGTTCTAATCAAAGGTATTTTATTCCTCTTGGCCTGAAGTTAGTCTCAGCATTCACGGATTGTAAATAGGTATAATACTCAGCCAGTGTTTTGAAATTACCAACTAAACCACTACTAGCAAGGCATCTCACATTAGCTAAGAATGCAGAAAACTTATCTAGTAGTGCTGAAGGGAGTTTAGAACTTTTGAGGACATTGCTGTGTATTAAATCCTTTTTCTGCTCCCAGTGCTGCTGAAATGGTCTTTATCAGCACCAATAAAGAAGGCAACTTTTTGCAGAGCTAGTGAGTGACCAGTATGAGCTTGTGCAGCAGCAGCATGAAGGTAACTGAAACCCACACATTCACCCTGAAGCTTTCTTTAAATCTGACAAAAGTGCCCCAAACTCCTTACCACTAGAGGGGATGGTGTCTTTGAACATCTCATAGAACTGTGTGAGGTACATCACCATGGACAGCTTATCTGGCTCTCCAACAGATGCCATTTCCTTTCCAGTCATAATGGGAGATATTCCAAACTCTTTTTCAGCGATGTCGAAGGCCAGTTGGTTATTCTTCTCCACATCATGCTCATCCAAAGAATCAAAGTCTCTGCAAAGGGCAGAAAGAGGCCATGCACTGAATCAAGTAGAAACCAGTCTTCTGAAAGAACTCAGGGATCCATCTCTTCTTTTTTTCTCCCTCTCGTCGAAATATCTCAAATTTATTTGCCAGCCACATGGTAAAGTTCATGCTACTTAATTACAGTGAACTTTAGCTCAAACATATCCTTTTTTCATTTTTTTTTCTTCTCCTACAAACCCAGATTTTTTCTTGTTATGAAGTATTATCCTCTGAAACACACCTTCACTTCCTCCATTGCTGGAAGACTGTACTATTTTCCCCTACATAAATTCTTCTGTGTGCTTGGGACTAAATTAATTCTTCACTTTTTGTCCCTTTTTTCCCCTTGACTGATCCATATCTTAGTCCTTCTGGCTTTTACCAAAACTTGTAGAACTATATAAAGTCTATATAAAAAGCTATAGCTTGTAGAGAATTACATAAACCATTTAAAAAGCTATTTGAACTCTCCACAAGCCATAGGGCTATTAAACAGAGTACCTCAGGTTAACTCAAGTACACCAACACAGAGTAATTCAGTGAACATGGAAGGGAATAACCACACAATTTTTCAGCATGCTTTACATTGGATTGTGTCTTTAAATAGAGCTCTAGCATTTACTTTCTCTGATGTCCCTTTGGGAAGTTGAAGACATTTCAGATTTCAATTTAAGTACCAGAATCTTCGCTACTGTTACTTATTCCAGCCAGTGTTTTCCCATTTTAGAATCTGGGCACTGTTTTACCCAATGTCATGTAAGGGGACACCTCTCTCATTCACCCAAGCCACATGTCAGTGTACAAAGAGTAACAACACCTCTATTTACACTGTGGGTCACTACTTGCAAAAAGAGCAGCCTAAAAAGTCTTTTTGAGTTATCGTTAAACAGAAAGTTTACAAAGGGTTGTGTAGATACTCGTTCATGAGAAATTTAACTGAATCTTTGAACTATTACTCACTTTACACACACACAAAAAAAAAAAAAATCTGTCAGTCAATAATGCCTCCCAGTCAGTATCAATTTGAAGCTCAATTCTGCCAAATCATCCAGAAGGGAAAATGACAACACATTTATCTTCAAATTCATCAAGCTATCACAACCTTCCACTCTGCTAGTGAATCACTGTACGTTAGTTTCTATCAAGTTTAATTGAATTCATTTCAATCCATTTCTTCATAAGTCACAAATGCATTGCCTCAATCTCCACATTATTAGTTCCAAACACCACTAATGTTCTGCCCTTCCCAGTTATTCGAAGCAGCCAATTACTCACATTAAGTCTGGACGGTATCTGTGGATAATGGCACACAAAGCTAAGCCACTTTTCCATGACATTGTGAGATCTGTCACATTAACACCAGCATATCCATCGGTCTGCCTCTGGCACCAACTGAGCAATTTACTGGAGCGAGCTACAGACTCTGTAAAAAGAAAAAAAAAAACAAAATCACATTTTAAAATAGAAATGCACAACATTTCACAAATTCAAAATATGCATAAAACCCACGAGTCAACAAGGAAAACCTTAATGTAAAAAACAAGCTCCTTCTACAATGGGTAATGGAGGACAGGACTCTCATTTAAAAAAAAAAATAATACTATCGTATCTATTTTAAATCCAAGAAAGTATTTTTCATTTGCTAAAAAGCAATTATCTAAGTTGTAACTTGCCAAACTTTTCACCCTACCCATTGTAAAAGAGCCCCAGGAAATATAAAACAGCTGCAAAGGCTTGTTAAGTATGATCAAAAGGACATACAGTAGCACAATGCTCCCTAAAGCCCAGATATACTATTTCTAGTGAAAGAACTACAAATGTATTTCTGTAACTTCTTTTCCCTTGAAAACTTTCCTTTAGAAGCACTGACCTGTTTTGACCTTGTCTTACAGCAAGATCTGATGAGATTACAGCCTAAAGGGACGTGGCTGCAGGGCAAAGAGCAGAAGACTACACAGCTATTCAGCAGTGAGAGGGAAGCTTAGCAGCAAAGAGCCACTCAGTGTCCCCGAACACTGTCTGGGCATCCAAGACAAGGCATGCAAAAGGAAAAGTTTGACATACCCCTCAGGGTAGAGACAAGTAGACAGATACTGAAATGCTTATCACAAGGCTTTCAGAATAATGCAAGTAAAGTGAGATGAAGAAAAGGAAGGCACAAATGTGAAAGTCTGCACAAGAAATACCTTCTGTTACGGTTTGTAAGAATTCTGAGTCTACTGTTAAGAGAGATTCAGTCTAGGCTTCTGCACTCTAAGCAAGGACATTGTTATAGATAAAGGAGGTGAAAAGAAATGCCTGTATAAGCAAATATGCTTAGAAATTTAACAGCATTATAAAGCAAGGGAAATTAGGCAAATAAAAATATATTTACATGCTAATGAAAACTTGAAAAACTGGAAACTCAGACAGTTGACAAAACAACTGCTGGATACATTTTCCAAATCAAGAGACTGATTAAATTATACTCTACAGCTATGCTGTTCTATAGTTCCTGCACTGATCCAGCTCCAGAATACCAAGAGGAATAGAACAGCAGCCAGGCCTACCATTTCGAGTCAGCTTTGGTGTCCTGGAGTTCACAAAGTTCTCTATTTCCAGGTGAATGTCTTTCAAGTCTCCTGTATTATACAAGTGCCGTACCTAAAATGACACAAAGAGGTTTCAAATGACCAACATGCCATGCACCCCAGATCCATACAGAAACAGGCAGAGGACAACAAGGAGCCAACACAGGAAGGAAGACAAGTACACTTATGTAGCAGAAGTCAGAAGCGCAAGGATCAGCTCATCAGCGCTGAACAGTCCAGCTGACTGCTGCTGCTCAGTGGATACCAAATTGCAATGACAGACTGCTAGACTAGTTTATTACAAAGAAAATGCACAGGCACACACACACAGACACAAATTTATAGATTTCCTGTATCATTACAGCACAGTTACAACTATCGAAATAAATTCCTAAAAAGGAATTTGTTAAAGTACAGAGGTCTACTGCTTCCACGTTATACACACATCAGGTGTCCCCAAAACACTATCACAGCTTCACCTGAGGAAAGCCAGTGCACATTACAAGCACTCAGAAGCACCATTTGTGCAGTTACCTGCTGTGGCCGCAGGAAGTTGACGTTGATATTGGGATACCGGGTGGCAGGATCGATGCTGTAATGGCTGAAGTTTTTACTCACGTTCTCAGGGGTGGTCTGAGGCAGCAGCCTATAAATGCTTTCCCTTGGGAAAATAACATAAAAAAAAAAAAAGAAGAAGTCTGGGGTTTTGTTTTGGTTGGTTTGTTTGTTTTAAGCTTTGTGGTGGTTTTGGTTTTTTTGTGTTTGTTTTGGTTGGGTTTGTGTTTTGGGTTTTTTTGTTTTCTTGTTTGGTTTTTTTAAAGAGATGCATCACTACTACTACAGTTAAGTAAACTCTGAAGAGATAAACATTCAAATTAAAAATCTAACCACTTCAGACACTGCATAGCTAAGAGTCAGGATAAGCATATTAAAATCTGCAATTTAATAGAGCTCCAGAAAACAAAAGGAGGGAAGAAACAATGCACTAAGCATAACTGAAAGGGTTTCCCAGTACAATAAAGACATTGAGATGCCGGAGGGGCTCAGGAAGAGGGCTACCAAGGGGACTGGAGCACGTGCCCTGTGAGGAGAGGCCAAGGGAACTGAGTTTGTTCAGCATGTATAAGAGAAGGCTCAGGGAAGACCTTACTGCTGTCTGCAAATGGTTAATGGGAGGGTGATGGAAGTCTGGTTCCAAACTGCAACATTATTATCCTCATCATTTTTTTAAAAATTCAAATGAACAGAATTTTATGTATGCATTGTGCTATTGAGCTGCAGTTGCTTAAGTCTACTTCATCTTTTAATTTCCTGAGTTCTGATCTCTAAGAGATCACCTTGAGTCACCAAGACAACACTCAGACAAATGATAAAAATATCAAGAACTCAATACTTCAAAGAAACACAAGATGTTGTTTGGCTTATATGAAACAAAGTGGCCAGTTTAGGAGAACATGAAAAAAAGCAGGTCATAGCTTCCTTAAAAGGAAATACTAAAGAATATTCACAAGATAACAGGGGATGGTAAGAAGTTCTGTATCTGGTACTTTAAAGTCACCTACATCTTCATCTGGTTTGCTATTGCAGGGCTGGTGACAGTAAGTTGGGCTCACTTTCTCCATGCAATGTCAATAAGCACCAAGAAAAGATTCTTCATCTAATCTTTTAAAACTAGGACCAAGAATAGATGCAACATTTCTTATTTCTATATATGTTAGTTTATTACCTTCCTAGGAAATCTTTTTCTTCAATTATACCCTCAAGTATCCTCTAAAAACAGAGTCTGTACCTCCCATTCTGTCTATATACTTGCACTAGAAGAAACTGGAATGAATGATGAGACATTGGAGGATTAGATTAGAACTGTAAGTATTCATTTTCTCTCTTACCGCTCTGCGAGAACTTCCAAAGGACTTGCTCCGAGCGACCAACTTCGTACCATCCAAGCAGAGTCCATTGCAGCCAAAAACCCCCTGGCTATTCCAGTTCCCATTGGCCAAAATGGCTAATATAGTTTACAAAAGAAAGAAGAGAAAAAGGCAGAGAAAGGAAAAGCATCAGTTAGGGAAAATTTTAAAGAAGTATCAAGTATGTATTCAGACAGTAATCTGCTGGGAAATTAGAGTTCAGTAATTAGCTTAAAGCACCACTCCTCCTGGGTTAGAGGAAATCAGATGTATAGTGCATAGCTCATGAGCTCTCCCAAAGCCAGTGTCCTTCTATTTCCAACAATTCCTAGCCTGGAATGCCTTAACAGCTTCTCTTGAAGACCGTACTTTTTAACTAACTACAAAATGTTAATTATTAGCAGGACTACAGTAGGCTCTGTAGAGTCAACTCATCCCAACAAGAAGCAGATGGAACAGACACAACTTCAGAAAAAGCCCTGCACACATTTTCTTAAGCAAGATCATTACCACGCTAAATATTCCGTTTTCCCAACACTCCTACCCTTCCTTCAAACCTCCCACTTCATTCTATAATAAACAGCAGCTTTCCTTACAGTGACACTCTCACAGGCAGCACGTTTTTCAGTGACGGCCTGTGCTTGTGCTTCCATTCAGTGTTTGCCCAGAGCGAGGTTAGAACACAAACCTCTAAGAGACTGTCCCCCACCAGCGCCACGAGCAGCTGGTGGCCGTTCTGCTCGCGCACCAGGGCGGCGTTCTCGGACGCGTACATGCACGTGAAGTCAAACATGGCCACGTCTGGCTGCCCATAGTGATTGATGGCGAAGTCCAGCGATGGCAGCTGCTGATTAGTGGAGAAGTCAGCTGCCTCCCTGGCATAGTTCAGCAGAGCCTCCTGGTCCACGTTTTCCCGTGAGAGCAGCACCTCTGTGTCAGCGTGATCCTGCCAAAACCAGAAAAGTTAAAAGTGCAGTGGTCAAATCCACAGGTTTATTTTAAGATTGGTACATAAGGTAGTTGGCATTAAAATTCTGACAAACTCACTGATACGGATCTGCCCTCTAATTTCTTTCATTCCTATCTGTGTTTATGCTTCCCAGAGAAAATCTATAAATCTTTTTTTGCAAATAGTGATCAGTCCTGCTTGTATTTCTAACTGTGAAAGGGCTAAGAAACTTCTGAGCATTTTTCATTCCCATAAAATGAAGGAAGTTCAACTAAGCTATCAAACGTTCTTTCAGCATATTTTATCTTAGCATGAACAAAACTCCCAAATCTACAAAGGGATACAAATTTGGAAAGGACAGGCTTTGTAACACTCTTCTGATAGCTTACAATACTTGAGAAGGGCATTAACTGCCCTTTAGAACACAATTGCATTTGTGTTCTAAAATACTGTATAAATACTGTATAAAAACATTACGTGGTGGAAGAAAAGCATGTTTCCCTTTTTTCACCATATCGTATGAAAATTGTCACCAAAATTTTAACTTATAGAGAATATAGGAGAAGTTAATACCCACATGCCGTATCACCCCTTTTTCCAGCAAGCTCTGTTTTTTGGCAGTCATGACAAAGTAGTGTGTATCATCTTTGTAGTAGACAATGTTCTCCAAGTCAATGCCTTGTGACAGAACAAAAGAAATGGTAGTGAAGGAACAAATTATGAGTTATGGGCAACACTAGAGTTTTATCAGAAGGAAGTAAATTGAAACTGCACGGTTAGAAAGCCTCAGAGAGAGAATGCCAAATAACTTTCTCACATGCTTTTGATGACTTTAAAAATCTGAATCTTCAACAAAACCACAAACAGCACATTTCACCTGCATAAAGCTACCTCTTCTAAAAAACACATTTATCATCACTAACGTTTGCATTCAGATGTGGAATCCAAAAAGCTGAACTCAGGATTCAGTCTCTTCCCATTTAGGGCTCAGGTTTCCTGAAAACAATAAGTTCTCCACTTCTGAACAAAAATGACACACATCTGCTTTGCACAGCAGAACAGCTGTAAAAATAGGGAAGTCAGAGACAGCAATGACTGACTTCCTTGCATATTGATTAAACACGATATCTGAGTTACAAAGTTTTATTAATAAAGACAAATCGTTTTCACTGGCAATCTGTCAGCTGCTGGCAAACCTGTGGCTTCTCGTAGATCTTGGAAGAACTTCTGGTTGAATATGAAGGCCACACCGCTGATCTCTTCTACTTTGGCTTCAGCTGTGGTGTTGCGATTGATGAAGTTTGCTGTGATAGCAATCGCGAGTTTACCGCGGAATTCTTTTCGGCGAAACCCTGGGGGAAGGATAAAGCAGCACCGAAAAACAGAGCACACCTTCAGAGAAGGCTCAGTATGCCACAGGCAGGTGCCCTCACAAAATAAAAAGAGGGAAGTGATCTGATGAATTACAAACTCCAACAATCGCTTCATCAGAAAAATAAACGCTCTGTTTAGGGAAAAAGCCCCCCCTCCCTCGTATCTTTTCTCAAAACTGCCATTTGCATAAAAATATTAATATCGGATTCTTTACTACACAGAATAATTAAACACCTCCGTTCTTACCCCCAAAAGAGCTACAACACTAATCAACTAAAGAAAAAAAATGTAAGAAAGGTTATCCAGATCAAAAAACCTAATTCCTTTCCTAGTGTATAGGAAGAGGAAAAAAGACAACCCAGGTGTCTTTGACACAAATGGATTTTTACATGAACTTTTAATCTCCCTTTCACTAGTCAAGTGTCCTTCCAGATGTTGATTGGCATATTAAAGGCATATTTTGTTCTAACAAATTTAAGAATAAGTTCTATTTGAAAGCTAATTATGGAGCCAATATTACCTTCTAAGGTGTTCCTCCTGCCATCCCCTCCAATGATTACTTCAAACTCATACTCAGACACGGGATGGGTTTTGGGGTGGACCAATGCACGCCAACCTATTCCTGTTGATAAACTCCAAGTTAATGGCAACATAAACAGCAATGGTAATAGAACAAATACATAAAACCACTTATTATCCATAATCCCTTCATCATATGGTCACTCAAGAAACCCTGCAGGACAGCTGCATTGTTGACAGGGCTATTCCTGAGCTGTGCAGCCACTCCATGTGAACCAGAGGCAGACACACCCCTGGTAAAACTCCCCTGACTATTTCCTTTAAGGACCACTGAACCTTTATAGGTCCTTTACTACCTATGCAATCAATAAAAAGCTGAAAAATAAGTAAGCCACCATCTCCTGTGGTGATCAGAGAAGAGGGTTCGCAACGATACTAAAAGCATAACAAGGATCATTCACTGTTATAAACATCCTCAGTGAATGCAAAGAAAGGAGTTGTTTCAAAATGTTATTTTGTAAGTCTAATAGGCTTAAATATTTTAGAATTACAATCTACCATGTCTTGGTCTATTTACTGTCGTGTAGTACTTCCGGTGACTTTGTTTCATATATTAAGTAATTTGGATTTGTCACTAGAAAAAAAATAAATCCTACTAAAAATCCAAGCAAAAAGGGATTAATAATTATTCTTATTAATGGAGCACGAGGAAAGGACTTAAGGTCATAAGCAGGGTTAAGGAGTAGGAGTCTGTGTATCCTACCACAACTTTCCCATTCTCTACCACCCATTTCAATGCTACTTGCTTTCATTCTCCTGATCCTCTGGAGGGTAAACAAGCCCCCGAAATTCCACATTGACATGGATCTCTATTCCCAAGATCAAGGCAACCTTCAAAAGGATAAGCTGGAGCTGACGGATACCTGCAAAAAAGCAAACATTAAAGAAATCAAAGAAAAAGAAAAGAGCACAAGATGCCTATGTGTGTCTGTGTGACATAACTAATAAACTGATTCAAAGGACAGCTGCTGTTTTCTTTTCCCCCACTGTGTTCCCAGCACTTCTCAGCACCAGTGTGGAATATATCACAACATGCCAAGAAACTTCTACATAGTTGAAACCCAATCCTTTTCAAAGAATGAAAGAAAAGTAAGTAATTTTTTGGATGTTTCAGTCCCCAAAATCAGCAACAGGGGAAACAACCAGAACATGCTCTGCAGGAGAGAGAGGGAAGACAGCACAAGCAGGACTGCACTTGTCACAGATGGCAACGAGCCATGTGATCAGCCTGGCTGTGATACCAACCTGCACCTTCATCCCAACACCTTGAGGGCATATTAAGTTTCTCACCACCTCTTTCCTCTTCATTTTACATAGGTAGTGGGTATGAAAATGACAGTGTGCAACCTCTGTTAATTTGAAGGAAGACACCTTACTGTCATATTTCAGACACTGAAATGAAAAAATCCTCCACCTAAACACTAAATTTCAGCTGTGCTGATGCACAAAAGAAGACAGCATGCAATAAGTACTGAAAGAATAAAAGTGACAAGAAATTGGAAGAAAAAAGCAATCTGCAAGACTGAAGTTCTGAAGATCTTCCAGTTTTAGCATTCACTGCCAAATTAAAAAAAAAAAAGTGGAGAACAAAGACTGGTGGGCAAAACCTGGCTCTGTCATGTACAATAACTTTCAGGGAGAAAAAGAAGAAACAAAAGAATTAAAAGAAAAATATTAATTCCTGCTCTACCAAAGCATTCAGCTTTCAAAGGAGACTGATTTGTCAGAATCTGAGAATCATCAAAATTATTCTGGATTTTAACATGTAAACCTCTATTTAATCAGAACTTATTCATAGGCTGGCAGTGTTCTTTAACATATCTTCATCACTTCCAAAAATTAACAAAGCCCAAACTGTTCCTCCTTTATCCAGATCGACATTCACAAGGATGTTCAAAAGCATTCACTAATTTTCCTTTTTACAAGTCCCTTACAACGTGCAAGGGAGACAGAATAATGTGGCAGCTGCAGGAATGTATCAGAAAAACAGAAAAATTATCCATCAAAAATGAAAAAAAAACGCTTAAACCTTCTGTGTACTTTTCAACGTAGGAAGAAGATACGCCTTGGGAATGCATAAACAATGATAGATACATTTTGCCTGTGTGTTGATCTCATGACAACGTATTTCTTTCACATCTGGGTCTAGCCCAAAATGCATGATGCAAAGGCAATGCTGAATTGTACCATAAGGACTTGAAAGCAGTGGTTGGGGTAGACCGAATTTTAATTACCCCACGCCCTCGCCTACTTTTCCCCAGTGCAGAATAAGTGCTGCTGTGTCCAGCAGCTGCTGTACTTACTGATGTGGTCTATGGATCCCGCACAGAATTTGCCGTAAAACTTTTTGGCGCCAAGACCCCTCAGGTCGTGAATGGTGAATGGCCACAAGTGCAGCACGTTATTGCGGGAGAAGGCATCCCTCTTTTCTATAACCACCACCTTGGCTCCCAGGAATGACAGGTCGATGGCTGTACGAAGGCCACAGGGTCCAGCCCCAATTATCAGACACTGCAAAACAACCAGCACAGAGTAACTTTTTACAGTCCTAGGAGGAAATAGGTATTTTTACCACAGCTTCCAAGCATCCCACGGCTCTTAGGAGCAAGTGCTCTTTGTCTGCAATATCAGCTGAAATTTCAGATCAGTCTTTCTATTGTTACCTGCCAAGTTCTGCCACTGATATGGTTAAAGCACTAACCGCAACCTAAAAATAAAGCACATTCCAGAGCAGAGTAAAGTCTTGGGAAGTAGGCAAGTAAACTGCCTGCGTGCAACCCTTGTTCTAAGAAGAGCTGCCAAGGTGTACTCTCCAAGCTACGTAAGTACTTGGAGACCAGCGATATGTCTAATGGCTTCTCCCTCCTCCCTACCATAACTTTTTATTTTTGTCTTAAAAAAAAAAAAAAGGCAATGACAAGTTTTCTTTTCATCTTCCAAAGCCTGAGCTGGCCTTTCTTAAGAATATCTTCAGTAGCATAAACACATGCAGATAAACACATGAGATGCTAATGCTTCTATAAACATCATCATTTAGAGTAAGACAGATAGTAGCTAAGCTAGAGCACTAACTCATCCCTATGTGGAGCTTCTACTACTGTAGCAAAGGAAACTTCAGGGAAGTAAACACAGTGCAAATACAAACTTTGTGTGACTGCACAACTTTTATCAAAATATGTTTTTCTCCAATCCAACCTTTGTCATACAAAAGGTCTTTCACCTTCTCATATCTTTCTCCGCTCCACTCACAAACATTATCAGACACTAATAAATAACTTGAGAATGAAAATACATGCAGTCTAGTGTTGACTTTCTACTTTCTGAGATGTGATAGAGCAAAACTTCTTTTAAGATTAAAAAGCCAAGATAGTCAGCTGATAATTCTTACCCACAGAAACCGAGGTCCATGGAGAAAGCTGGTGTTGGTATGTGATTTCTCATAAATACAGTACACAGTCCATTTTGTCCTATCGTTATTGCACTTTGATTTCTACCGAGTACAAACCACATCCACAGAATAAAGACCAGTCACAGGGGTGACTGCTGCTGCCATGTGATTATTTTCCAGATCCTCACATATCCTTATGGCTGGACAGAAAAGTTCCTTAAGAAATTCTTAAGTATGCCAAAACTTAACCAGAAACCAATGTTCTGATAAACAGCCTATCCCAAACCAAAACTGTGTTTGTTGGTCATCCCCATATGACAATTTTTACAGGCTGTCACATTCTCACCACTTACTCACTGAGCCATAAATTCTGCAATAATATGAAACTGCAAATATAAAGCCTGAATGAGGAAAAACCAGTACAAGTTACATCAGTGACAACACAACAACTGACATGCAAATTCAGAGTAAGACTGTGTAAGATAAGAAGTCACATAAATTTTAGGGCAGAGATCCAAGTCCACAAGAAAGGGAAGGGAATAATAACACCATTGCTTCTTTAGTAGTTTCAGGAATCTGGAGGCATTTGGGACAAAAGGCAAGTGCAACCCCTGCGCTAATAAATTCCTAAGTAGACTTGGATATTGAACAGATGTCCGTCTTGTAACTTGTTAAAAGGGATATTCAATTAGGACCTAATATGTTCTTCAATTTGATATTATTTTATTTGTAGATAAGTAACTCTTGAACAGCATTTGGTCTATATTTTTTTAAACTTCTAAGAAAATCAGCTGAGTGTATCATTTTATCCAGGTAATAATTGTGCTTGTCTGACAACTACGAACTTCAAAGAGCCTGGATTCAATAAGCAACAAGAACACACTGAGTTGGGTGGCTTTTCTTCTTGAATAATTTTCCACATGTGAAATAGTTACAATGGAGTACACAACAGCAAAGGAATTGTACTAAAATGAGACTATTCAAACTCAGGTCTACATAATCAAATTATAAACTAATTGTCTGCAATTTTGTCACAGAAACATTTTTTGTTGTTGTTGTTCTTTGTAATCATCCCCCTACCCCAACAGAAGGATGTGGTTAATGACATCTAGGTTATGTTTAAGATTCTAGATGTTCTGAAAGTAAAATATATGATAATCAGTGAAGTAATTCATGGTCAAAGTTGCCTTTTTTTTCTTTTACCATCACGAAAACATTATGTTGTTATAAAACATAACAAGTTTTAAGTACAATTAAAAATAGAAGAAAAGATTCTTTTCCACCTCTAATGCTTCTTCCAGTTTCAGATCTCTTGTAGAGCCCCACCTTCTGATACTCTGTCAGACCACAGTAACTACATGAGATGCCAAGTACAGCCAAATATAGGCAGCTACTGTTGTTCCTTCTTCCCTTTCCCCTCAATGACTCCAAGCAATTGCTGCAACTCCCTGCACTGGAGCTGTCTCACCCCTCAGAAACACTTCTTGCTCAAGATCTTTCAGACAGATTATATTAAGTTTCCAGTAACAATGCCACGGTAATGGAACATTAAAGGCAAACTGAAATCCTGTATTCTCTGTATAACCAATGAAGAGAGAGCACCATTTGTAACTATTTACATTTGAACAGCCCATCATGTCCAAGACTTGCTTTCACATACTCTGATTATCTGAATTCTGGTAAGCCTGGACGCTGGTCATGTGCACAAACTGCCCAACTCCAGGCACAGCACCTCATCCCTGACCAATTTTTAAATGGGAAATTAAGAGCTACACTGCAGAGGATGAGAAATCAGAACTGGTCTATGTTCCAAGTGTACAACAGCCAAACTGTTGTAATGACTGACTTCTGTTCTGATAACACGGGTAATACCTAATCTTTATTTTAAATTCTATCATCTCTACATGCCCACTTAAATTGCTGTATCTTTTAATCAGTGGTTTGCAAATTACATTAAACTTAGGAATATAAAACTAAGTGAGTTAGGAAACATCAGATATGATTCAGTTCTCAGAAGGCCTCTGCTTGGAGCAGTTATGATTCTCTCTTAGGAATTACATATAAATATTTAACAGCAGCTACTATTAGGATAGGAAACAAGCAATTAATAGAAACATAGACAAAAAATATAAAAAGAATACACCCAAGTTTTTTAAACTAAATTTCACTTTCTCTCAGCTACTAGTTTAACTACTCAAAATGGTGTGAATCCCAAATCCAGTCCTCTATGTTTCTGATTAGGGGCAAAGGGGTGTGCCAGCTTTAATTTATTAAAGACAGTTGGCTACATAATTTTTTCAAAGCACATCCTTGTCAGATTTTTTTTAAGGCTCAGTACTCCTCTGCTTCTTCAGATATTCTTTCACAGCACAATCTGAAGGACTTCCCTCATTTCTCTCACTACCACCTTCCCATGGGGCTTCACCTGTTGTCTCTTGTATGATCCTCCCTCTACAAATTGCCTTTGCATCACCTCATTCACAGACACTGCTCCAATCAGCTTGTCAGTGCTGTCAATTCACAGAACTTCTCCAACTCAAGAGTTGGCTACTTTTTGTCCAAGTTAAAATCCTTACCTTTCTGACATTTCCTTATGGCTCCCTAGTTGTCAATTCAAACCCCAACACAACCAAATGGAGTTCTAATGTCCTTCTAAACTCAGCTTGCCATTTCTCTTCTCTATAAATGTCACGTTCAATTTTCTGAATGCCTTTCATAGTTGGATGTCACCCTCCACTCACATCTATTTTTTGTATGCTGTCACAATCGAGCACTGTCCACCTATCCTTCCATTAAATCTCTTCTTCCACGTTGCATCTCTGTTATTGAAGCAACCATTTTCCTCAGTGTTAACAAATAGTATTGCAGACTAAGATATATTCAGAGTGCAGATGCAAAAGTCATTCTTATAGCCTATTATTCAAACAAGTTAAAAGGCCTCTGCATCTTCCATCTTCAATCTCTTTCTCATTAAAACATAAACCACCTGACCTCATTTCACAAACTTTTAGCACCTTAATTCAGTTCTACCCATCATGTTTCATTCCAAATAAGAGCAATTCCTGAATCCAATGAATGTACAGTGCAATCAATTATTCAGAAAAACAATTTGGAGTTTTCTCTATAACATCCCATAGTGTTGAGAAGGTTTATTCCTAAGTATATGCAAAATCCGCTACATTTATCTTGCCGTAATTCCTTCCTTTCTTATGCTCCCTGAAAAATGTAAACCTTAACAGTGGTTGTACTTTTGAGGTGTTGAAGCTACTGCCCACCAAGACAGTGCCCAATTGTTCCATTTTCAGTTTACCAAGTTATTGTAGTAATGCATTATAAATGCCTCCCTTCATATGAAAATGGCCACTGAAAAGCAGAACAGAATAAACAATTAAGAAACTAACACAATTTTCTAACGTCTAGTTGAGAATTAAACTTCACTCCACAGATCTGAAATGACATACTCTAAACTAGATATATTTCCCCCTCTGTTCTCTACTAAGGAACTAGTCATTTACTCCTCCAATTAAAATATTTCCTTCTCTCAGAAGGTGAATATTCAAAAGAAGCAGCAGTATCTATTGTTCTCAATGAAGGACAGAATCCTGTTTAAATTTTATAGTGTTCAGTACTATTTGCCTCTTTTAAAAAAGGAAGAATGCTTGATTATTTACAAAAACAACATATTCTATTCACATTTTGATAAAGGATATAAAGAACTGCTTTCAGTAACCACAAAATAAATAAATAAGATCATACTGCACAGTCCAACCAGCGTGCAGCACATAAATGCCAGCTCACAATAATTCAGGTTGGAAAAAAAAAAAAAGGTAAAATGCTCTGTGTGTGTGTGTATGTGTATGTAAAACAGGAATTCCTACAGTAAATACCACACATACCAACCTTTTAAAAGAAATTGGTATGAGTTTCCAGGGCATTTTTTTTTCTTCTTTGAATCTGGAATATAAATGATCATTTTCTAAATAACGGGAAACAGGATATTTTACCCAATTGGCAGGAAAGTTTATTTTTCTTCAGAGAGTCATGAGGTTTTTCAAATTAAAGCTGGAAATTTCCAAACATGCATATTTTGTACCTAGACTCCAACAGCACGTCCCTGCTACTGCCTAGCAGAAAAATGCGAAAAAAAGTCTACCGAGATAAAAGGTTTACCAATTAAGATTTCCTAAGCCATCTATAGTATTGATGCCACAAAAATGCACAACAGAGGAACCTGCAGGCTGCTTCTCCTGAATAATTGACAAATACTCATGTGGGCAATCAAATCTTGTAGTGGCAAATGGAATTACTGATTGTTAGTCAAATGCTCACACCTTGTGGCTATGTTATAAATACATGTACAAGAATATTCCTGAGTCTTCCCCACCATTAGAGTGACACCAAGCAAACACATTTTTACATCCAGACACTCTTATTGTGTGTTCCAGAGACAAACAGGTACTAGTTGTTTTGACCACAGTGAGTGTATCTCTTACCTTCGTGTTGGCGCACGCTTTCCCTTTCTTATAGTCCTTATGGCTGCCTCTTTTATCCAATTTGGCCCATAAGGCTTTGGCTTTCCAGTAATTGAGCTTGGATTTGAGTTTGTGATAGAAGGAACGATAGTCCTTCGGCTTTAGTTCTAAGTAGTCACAGAGCTCTTGGAAAGCCTTGAGAGTCCCCTTGCAGGTGGAAGCCTGGACAAATCTGTCGAAGAGAACATGAGCCTGGTTCACCTTCTCGTTTTTACTCTCCTCCATGCTTCACACGTTGCAGCTGCCCTGGGGGGCAGCTGTTCTCATCCAGTCTGCCAGACTTCCCAGTGTTGCTCTGCTGAGCCACTTTCACCTCTGGCTTACAAGCATTATCAACCTAAAAGATAAAAAGAAGAAAATGTAACTCAGCTTGCTCTTTCATTTTCTTTCCAAAATTTTGTCTAAGCCTGCTGAACTGAGAGCCCAGATTCTCAGTAATTACTAACGCATCAGTCCTAAGTAAGTCAACTGATTGATACCCCAAGGATTTCTGACCATGCTCACTGAAGTAGAGCCTTCCAGAGCTCACTGAGCCTCACTGCAGACAGTGGCACATCTCACCTCTGTTAAATCACAAAATACTTTAACCTGAGCCAGTGCCTTGGAAGTTTCATCAAAACGCATTTCAAACGAACAGCAGAGAAATCACAAGTAAACTGGCAGATGTTACATGATGCCTGGAAGAGGTTGTGAAAACAAAAGATGCAGACCTACTGATGTCACAGTTACTGTGTAACAGCACAGGAATAGTTATGTGCTGGTCTTAAAGATACTGCTACCACAAAGTAGTACAGTTTTGTACGGTGATGGCTGCTGTGATCCTAAAAAGAAGTTAAACCTGCTAAAAGCAATCAATTGCTTAAGATGTCAAGACAAAAAAGAAAGCCTGTCTGTGTTGCATCAAGCACTGTAAACATTCCCCTTACCTAAGGCCTATGCACTTATTTCTGTCAGTAGGTGAGCAGCATAAGAACAAAAGCCCCCTTACAAGTAAGTCCCCTTACAAGGGCTGGTACCTGACCCTTGTAAGATTCTCATAATTCCTCTATTCTGTGGGTTTTAACTTCTTTTGATATGCAGGCCCATACAAAATTTTAGGGGGTAGTTGGAGTCTAGTTTAATCTGCTGAGGCAGATTACACATGCTCTCATGAGCTCTGCTACTCCTAGTTGCCTTTCTGGGATCCCTCAGAAGCAGCCTGCAGACTTACAGAATTAATTGTTTGGCTCACAATTAGAGATTTTGTTTAAAGAATAGATATTTTCTCTTCTCCTTTCTCTTTTTTTTTTTTATACAATAAACCTTTTTTCTTTCTTTTATACATAATACTAAGTACATACATAGACTAGATTACCCTGCTCTCTAAGAAAGAATAGTTCTGTTTGCCTTCAGATAGGAAGGCAGCATGGGAACGTACGCAGGAACTATGGAAGTAAAAGCACTTCTGAGGTGCTTTTTGTCCTTTGGTTTTTTTGCAAAGGGTATTAAAGTAAAAAAGGAAATATGTGGACTCGAATAAAACTTTTTAGTTTCTCACCAGCTCTTTTCCTGCTTCCAACAGACAGGAAGCCAAGTCAAACATTACAGCTCATGTCTCTTCCCCTCCCGTATGACAGCTCTGCAGCAGTTTATTTGGGCACTCCTGCTTTTCAGCCTAACATGGTATTTATTGTTTATGTTCAGAAATAGCAAAGGAGACCTGAAAATCTTTACTTACAGACAGAAATTGATGTTTTTAAAAATAAAATTTCCTAGAGAAGCCACAGTACAACAATGGGTTATACTGCAGAATGTGATTCTAACTTTATTGGGACAACTGTCTCAGAAGACTCAGTATACATGAAGCTGTTTTTCTAACTGGCTTATGGTGATGCCATGCCCATATCAGTACTGCTCACTAAGCTGGATGGAACTGCTTTCCTTATTTTTAATCTTAACTTCACTGTTGTGAAGCTGGAAACATGCTCCAGGCTTGTGCCTCAGGGAAACCACTGCATTACTGCACAGTCTAAGTCATGGTTTGGGTTGGAAGGGACCTTAAAGATCATCTAGTTCCAACTCCCTTGCCATGGGCAGGGACACTTTCCAATACATCAGGTTGCTCAGAGCCTGGCCTTGAACACTGTCAGGGATGGGGCATCCACTACTTCTCTGGGCAACATGCTCCAGTGCCTCGAAACCATCACAGGGGAGAATTTCTTCCCAATATGCCATCTAAACCTGCCTCTTACAGTTTGAAGCCATCCCCCTTGTCTTATCACTACATGCTGTTGTAATAAGTCCCTCTCCAGCTCTTGTGACCCTGTTACATACTGAAAGCCTGTGTCTCCTCTTCTGTTATCAAGAAGAATATTATAATGAACTCCAACAAAACACCTCTAACACTGAAGGAGTAGTTTCAGTGTGTCTGTGTAACATAAGCACAATAAAATACCAACAGCCTAAAGTCACACGCCTCATTAGTTAGCACAACCTCCCAAGCTGAATGCTATTCTCTTACATTCCCCCCACCTCTTGCACCCCACTCTACCACCTCTACAGCAGTGCTTTGGGTCACTGAGACTTCTTCAGAAAGAATAGTAGAAGTTATATGACCTAAATTAAGCAGAGTCACAACTTAGGTCTCTGAGTCCACAGTCCACTACTGATATATCCAGATGTAAGGACAGCATAGGAATCATTTCTTACTCTTCCTTCTCCTGTACCTTATCACCAGAGGAGTAAGGCAGCACCGGTTCTGTGCTGCTCAGGGAGATCCCAAAATTAAAACTCAAACTATTGTAATTCTAAGAACTTACTGCTTTGTGTTCAAGGTTGGCCAAGCCAGGAGACAGACCTGCAGACAGCAGGTCATTTCAGACAGCACATCCCAAGTGACACGTTAGCACAGCAGCTCTGCCGACATCCCGTTCCACACAGGCTGGGAAGTCAGTTATGCCCACAGGTCAAACACCAAGGCTTCAGTCACCGCGGTAAGTCACTCCCTAGAACTCTGCAATCCTGATGTAAACACCCATAGGCCTTGGAACCCGCCAGCAACACGTCAGAGAACATGGAAATTACAGGAGGAAAGCAAGGGCAGGCAAGAATTATTTGCCAGGTTTCCAGGGTATTCGTGCGCCTTGCCGGCTGTTCTGCAAGTCTGCAGTATCCTGCATGTTTTGTCTCGAGGCAGCTGATTGCTGACTCAGAAGCTCTGTGAATTCCTTGGCTGCAGTGTTGGGCGAGGAAGACAAAGCCCGTGGAAAAACGCATGCAAGAACAGCGTTCATGTTGCTATTTACAATAATAGCATGAGGTTGTCACTGACTCACGGCTGAAAGTACGCTCAGGATCTCCAGCACTCGCCCAGGACAAAACAAACCAATGAAAAACAGAGACGCAGGTAATGAATAATTCCAGGTGGTGGTTCCTCCCCACAGTCACCACGGATGCAGGAATATGAATATTTTACCAAGTGCGTACACGGGAAAGAGAGCCCAGTGCCCTACTTCTGCTGAAAGATAAGAGAGAAGAGAGATTCTGCAGAAGCTACACATCATGAATTTGGTTGTACAAACTGAAGTTCTGCAGCAAGTGTTGCAAATGCAGGGCTCGCATGTTCCAGGCAAATAAACACACCCATTATAGGAGTCACCACCACCCCTTTTCCATCCTAATTTTGTTAGAAGTGCTCATTCAAACAGTGACTTGAGCCTGGAAAAAAATAAAGTATTATGGGAATGTATTTTTCAGCAATCTTCTCCTTTTTTTTTTTTTTTTTCCCCATCAGAAACTATTGAGTTAATTCAATCTACATTCATGGCTTGTTCTGTCTAGCCTAAAACAGGAGTGAATAAAACATTTGCCAAAGTAGCTGCCCAGCTGCACTTCAGAATGCTGAGTTTCTCCGAGCACAATGTAAATCCTTTCTTACATTTGGGTTATTTCACAGCCTGGCAAGCACCACAGATGCACCCTTGGCAGACACATCTCTGAGAAGTCAGAGATCAAGAAGGCGTTAGTAGTACCATACAGAATCTGAAAGCGAGTTTGGTCCATTTATCATAAAACTACTTAGAGCTCCAACAGCCCCAATTTCCATTGATTTCATCCTTTCCCTAAAACTCCCAGTTTCCCAGCAACATTCCCTATGCCCTTGTCTCCCTTTCATGGCCCCTCAGTTTCTGCCTAAGTGAGACTCAGTAACATGCTCTGGAGACTGGAGATTACTGCAGTACCCAGGAGGCCAGGACACACTTGCAACTTGGCTAGCAAAAGCCTAAGAACAGATTATTGTTAAGCTCATGCTGCAGACAGTGGGGACACCTATTTTTGTCTCTCTCCTCCACCCAGCCTCCAGTTTTCTTGTTGGAAAGCAATTACCTTTGAGACTTTTATTCCTTGGCAAATCTGGATGAAATTGTTCAAAAGTTATTAAGGATGAACTGAAAAGCAGATGGACAAACAGCTCAATCCCGTAAGCCTGCCTTCTTTAGGAAACAACACTAAAAAAATCTATTCCAGCAAATGAAAGAGCTCTGTTTTCATTTCCAAGATTTAATTTATTTTACTTTCAGCTAAAAGGAGTAGACTTTGCTACAATATGTTCCTGACTTTTTAAGTGATCACAGGTATCAAGAAGTGCAGCTTTAGGGCAGTGGTAAGACTGTGGAACAGATGGCAAAAAGAAGACAATTTTGACAAGAAAAGTTAAAGCCAAAACTGGCAACTATTTTAGCTCTATATTATGCAGACAGAGAATGGGAAAGCAGGAGGACAAAGGCGTGGTTGCCATTGTTTACAGCTTCCCTTTTACACCAGATGGAAAAGGGGCATGTCAGCACTGTCCACAGTATGCTTTAAGATGGTATTTGGATCTGCTCCTGTTCATAAAAATCAAGACTCAAGCAAATATGCTGTCAAAAAGATGTTTGTGTTTGAAAACATTTATCGAACCTAATTTGGGGGCCTTCTGCCCACTACATGGGAGTGAGTCTTTTGGGTCTCCACCCTTCCTGTCCACCCTCTTTCCCAAGCTAGGCCAGAAGTGGGAAAAGAGGAACCAAATATGAACTTGGTTGAAACTACAAGAACCTGTTCTTAGCACATACACAAATAGTTCATAGAATTCTCATGTCATGAAAAACTCAACCGAGTAATGATTTGAAAAGAAATGCAAATTATATCCAAGAACATGGAAACATACAAATACAGAAGCAGTTACTGAAAATATTTTGGTTCCCAAACTCATATCAAGGTACAGAAGCAAAATGTGTACATTGCTTGTTACTAACCATTTCTTATGTGCCACAACGTGACTACTGAAAGCATTTGACCTACAAAATACAACCTTTT